TCTGTGTCAAATAACATCCCCAAGATTTGTAAAATGCAGCCCCTATCCTAGTCAAATTATCAGCCTCATTATCATACTTTTTCGAAAACAAAAAAATGGGCAAGTGCTTAATTTTCAAATCACCATATTGATTTTTAAACATACATAACTTCATAAATGAGCCAAATATGACCATTTGTTGATAATACACAATCAATGTATACAGTATATGTACAATTAATATAATCTGAACATGATTGGTCATTGCTAATAAGGAATACATATAATAGGGTAATGAAACTTCCCTTAAGTTAATTTCTCTAAGGACTTTTAAATCTAGTTTGTCAGGAAAGGTAATTCCTGAAAGAATCCAAGTTTGCCATTTTTTTAGCAATGTAAGTTCATTGAACTTGTGACCTTGACTTTTACCTTTATATTGTGTTCACGGTGATATATTCCTGCTGGTACCCTTTATACTATTCTCCCAGGGTATTTTTTTTTTAATGCCAATTTAAGTGGGTGGGATAGAAGCATAATATCTTATTTAATTTTAACCAGATAATCACACTAGAAGTTTCTACCTTGTACCTCTCATTAATAATATACAATGCAGTGAATTGTTAGAATGCAGATACTGTAAAAGTGAAATATAGAACAATTATTATTTGTATGTCAGAAATCCTTGGACAAATTTGAAAGATCTCCAAACTTCAGAACAGCTTTGGCCTGGAAAGCATGTGCATTTACATCATGACAATGGTATTCATAGTGTTTGTACTTTTGATAACTTTACATGTAAAGGCTTATCCCTGTACATGTAAATTGAAAATATCATACAACTAACATGCCAATATTTACACATTTCTTCAAAAAAATTGAATTAATATGTATTAAATATTAGAAGATTATTGTAACAGCTTCCCAATATTTTGCTTAATTCACAAAAATAATACCTCTGAGGCTTTATGAAATAAAATCCATGGAAAAATGATGGCTTAAAAGTCATGTGATATGTAATTCCTGTGGGCTTATACAATTTTGTCCTCTTGTGTGAAAAGGTCCTTTGAAATCTCTGCATTCTTGTCCAGGAAGCGACAACAGGACACTTATCTTGACATATCAAAAACCACAAATTAAGTGAAGGTGATGCAAGTGTGGTCAGGCTAAAACCTCATTGTGGAAATGAATCAGAAGGTTCCGCTTTCCACAAGCCCAGGACACACACGTCTGACTCGTCTGACTCCGCGTCCGAATGTAAACGTAACGCGAGACGACTGCGTGCACTCGAACGCATACACGTACACGGAAACTTGGGGCATTGCCCAGGTATTATGGTTATGGTGTCAACGCTTTCCAGATGAATATTCCTTTCCTACAAAACATGTTTGTATGAGTACTGTACTGAGTAATGTGACTCACAATGCAGAGCATGTAAATGTGAACATTATCAGCTCTTTCCATCTCTCCCTCTCTTTCTCTCTCTCTCTTTCTCTCTGACTCCCAACCCCTCTCCATCTTTCCCTCTCTCTAGATCTACCTCCCGAGTCCCAACCCCTCTCTATCTATTCTCCCCCTTTCTTATCTCTCCTCTTTCTGCATGTCTCTATCCCCCCCCCCCCCCCCCCTCTGTCTCTCCCTACCACGATCTTTCAACCCTCTTCCCTTCCCTCCCACAGTCCCACTTCCTCTCCAAACACCAAATTCAAAGTGTTTCCCCCTGCATATACTATTATTTACCAAGTTCATTTACTGTCAACTCCATCCACCTACAGGTGTACCAAGAATTATGTATTCATGAAGATACATGTATTGTATGTGTAAATGTTACCCAAACTTTCACTGTATCTATATGTACCTGTTCATACTACATTCAACGATAATGCTTCATGCTAATGACCTCAAACCTGTGTCATTACACTTTACAATTACACATTGTTCACACAAGCTAAAATGGTACATGTAAATGTATGGTCTCTTGATTGAGATCCATGACCAGCACCAAGTGTAACCAACGTCCATGTATGGTCTACTACTACCGATAATACAAAAAAATGGTAAAACACTTGTTGAGTGAAGCAATTGTGTGTAATTTTGGTGGTGGTGATGAACTATGTAACATATACCCCTCTGAACATACTAGCAATATCACATACATGTATATGTAGCAGTAGCAGGCCACTGATTGCCTATAGAGCAAGATTGGCATTTGTTTCCTACACAAGAATTTTGTAAGCTTAAAATTCACCAATATCACAACTGACCTCTTTTTTATACAAAATACACTCTGCAATATTGTACACTGAATCATCCTTTTTTGCTGATTTTATGCTGATTTCCCACCACTAGTTCCTAATAATTACACATTAAACTGAAGCTATCAGTTACCCAACCTTACAATCTAACTAATGTATTAGGAAGTATGAGTTGTACCAAAACAAGAACTGAAACAAACACTCATTTTGAAAGGCTTAGATCCTTAACTGTGGTAGATGCATGTACTAGAGATTACTCAATGACATTTCCTGTATAACAAGTGCATTGTGAACATTCACATGTACCGTACATGTAACACGTTCCCGTTTATCAGGAAATGCACAGCAGTGAAGCACAAAAGTTCTAGATTGTGGAGTCTACACAGCAGGGCTTGAACAAGGCAATTAGGGTCAGGGAGCCAAAATGATTTGTTGCATAGAATGTGAGCATAAAAATAATGATTTTTGTGATTCATTTGGTTAACAAAGAAAGTTTTTTTTCTTTAATCAGCAAAATCTGCCTAATATTGGGGGTGCACAGTGAGGAGTCCATCAGATATATATTTTCTTGGTTACTGCATCAAAATTGAGTATGGCTGTTAGTCAGGTATGATGATGATGGTGGTGATGATGATGATGATGATGATGATGATGATGATGATGATGATGATGATGATGATGATGATGATGATGATGATGATGATGATGATGATGATGATGATGATGATGATGATGATGATGATGATGATGATGATAAAGGTGGTGGTAGTGGTGGGGGTGGTGGTGATTGTGATGGTGATGATTGACAAAGATGATGATCAAACACATATACGTAAAACCCTTATCAGCAGGTAAAAGCCTACACTATTCTTCGTTAACTACATGTACATGTTGAACTGAAATCTTCAAAATGTTTTTATTTAAATATTTCTTAGAACTGAAGGTCATACAAAACCTTTGAGGCTTCATTTCTGATATTATATTACAAACTATTGAGGCCCCAATATCTTGAATTTGTAGACACACTTCAGAATAAAATGATACACTACTGCACTTATATCGCCCTACATGTACATGGGAACAAATAAAACAAATAAGTTCCTAAGACAATCGTACAAGGGGTATCTAGAAACTAAAAGGCCAACTAAACTTGGCATAATCACATTTAATCTTATAGGCTTACATGCACATAAATCATAATGTAACATTGGAAAAGAATGCATCTGGCAAAGTGGCAATGATCTACATTCATGTTCATGCACACTTAATCGCCCTATTACCGACGATGATGATCAAGACCATGACAGAGCTATGACAAAAAAGTCAGAATCAAGCAGAACTGCAAAACACAAAAAGGCCAATGGTCTGATGGAAGTCTGAAATGAGTCAATATGCTACTTGTATCATACCCCCCCCCCCCCCTCCCATTACAAACAGCTTGGTGCTGTTGATCTTTGACACAAAACAGAGGAAGAGGAAGAATAATAATATATTCCGCTTTTATATAGTGCTCAATACAAATGTCTCTAGGCGCTTTACAGATATACAGGTATACGAAGAGGAAGAAGAGGAAGAAGAAGAAGAAGAAGAAGAAGAAGAAGAAGAAGAAGAAGAAGAAAAAGAAGAAGAAGAAGAAGAAGAAAAAGAAGAAGAAGAAGAAGAAGAAGAAAAGAAGAAGAAGAAGAAGAAAAAGAAGAAGAAGAAGAGCAAGAAGAGCAAGAAGGGAAAGAAGAGGAAGAGGAAGAAGAAAAAAAGTAAAAGAAAGAAAAAGAAAAAGAAAAAAAAAAGAAAAAAAGAAGAATTAGAAAAAGAAGAAGAATTAAAAGAAGAAGAATTAAAACAAGAAGAATGAGAACAAGAAGAACAAGAACAAGAACAAGAACAAGAAGATGCTGCATGCTGCATGCTGCATGCTGATGACTGCATAAACATTAGATAACGCTACAGGTGAAGGGGCTCCCACAGAAATAAATCTGCTGCTCAGATCATCAATGATACAACTGACAACAATGTTATGTGTCAAGTCACTGAATGGAACTTTCGGAATCCAGCCAACTTGTCATCAAAGCATTAGATCTAAGTACAATGATTGTGTTATGTTAGTTAATGGGAATCATGATCACAGTCCCTGTTACATAATTGCATCATCTTAAAACTTGACATGGAGAAAAATATTGTATTTCTTTTTCTTTTTCATGCTGTTTCGGCTTCTCAAGATAATCCGGGTCGGGGAGTGGAGACAAGGAGGGAGTGAATTTACTCTAACAGTTGTTAACAAAATAGATCTAGACTAGTCTACATGTGTCACAAAGAAATAAGAAAAAGAAAAAACAACGGACAAATCAATATGCAGGCTGTTGGAACAAATTTCTCTCTTTTCAGACAAAACATCGTTGTGATCTGGTGATTCACACAACCCGTCAAAATCTACTTAACGACCTATAGAAAGCCATTTATGTAACTTCGGCAGACTCACAGTGCCGACGATCTCCGACCTGAGCGGAGGAAGGATACAAGAGAGAGATTCGCAAATCTACCCAATTCTCGGAAAAGTATTTTACCAACTTCGTTTTTAGGTCTAGTACATTCTACACAAAAATACAAATATCGTGTACGTGCACCACATCACATTCACGTAACACACGTTGGGCTTAGCTCATCGTCGACATACAGACGACATACAGACAAACGTAGACTAATGCAAACAGCCACGACCAACAGCAGTACTGTTTACATCGCTGGCGAACGCCTACTCGAAATGCATCTTACCCGTAAAGCTCCGGGTCCTTGACCGAGAGACAAGGTCCACTAAACAGCTCCAAGTCTGCCGCAAATCCAAGAATGACCGTCAAAATATCAGCTGTAGTCTCAACCACATGTATGGCTTATTTTTCGCGTTGATAACCTCTCCGTTTTCAGTCTGTTTTCTGTTCCCAAAATAGCAATAGTAGTTGTCGTCTGTGTGTGTGTCATGTGACCAATCTGGATCCGTGAGAAATTATCGCGAAAAGTGTGCAGAAATATTTCATTCATTATTGCCATTTATTGCATGCAGCAACTAGCACAAGAGGGCGGTATATTAAGTCACCGCGAAAAGTGATTGGGGACTGGTCGATTGGTAATTTGGTTAGTGAATGAACTGGCAAATGATTATGGTGATAATGTTCTTGTTGTTGTCGATGATGATGATGATGATGATGATGATGATGATGATGATGATGATGATGATGATAATGATGATGATGATGATGATGATGATGATGATGATGATGATAAAATGAGAAGAAGTGGGAGGAGGAAGAAGCAGATTATATGAGAAATTACAATAATACAGTGATATCGCCTACCTTCAAAGTATAAAACAGGAACAAATTAAGGAATAAAATGTTCATTTTCTTGATTTACTCGCGCATGATTGTTCATTTAAAACTTAAACCCATTATACACATATGAGATTGAATAAATGATCACTTTACCATTTTCTTTTATTTAAAAGCGTGAACTCTACCTTTAACTTTTCATCGAAACATAGAAGCACATTCCATTCATTAAATTAACTTTCTATTAAATAATCGAATTTGATATTGGTTTCAAAGTAATTTTTGGTCGGGAAGAAACAAATGCGAGAGAAACAGTTTTGTTTATAAACATTTAGCCAAGGGAAATCCCCCTAAATCCAGAGTGCGCGCGCGCGCCATGTGCGACAGAGTTCAATGCACTTTTCACCATTACTATTCTCCGTGTATGAAAGCGCCTCTGCGCGAAATGTATTATGACGCAACAAAGAAATCAATCGTATTATGACATCACAAAGCAACTGGCTGCGCTACTTTGAAATGCATAACAACGACCAAATGAAAACGATGCGCTGTAGTGTAAGCCAGTTTATAAATAATGCCGCCGAAGTCAAACTAAGAGTATAATCAGCTGCCTTTCCCGTATCAAGAAATCGTCTCAAAGTTGCGGAAAGGATTACAACAGATATAGGTAAAACAATATCTTCATCTACTCCTTATTTTTGTCAGTAAATAACGTTAAAAAGATATTTTGTAAAAACTAATGAGAAACGATTTAGTGTTATTTCCACTAGAATGAAGACAATATTGTGTTCACGGTTCTTCTTCTTTAAAGGTACTATGTCCCTTTTGCAGCCAACCTCAAATTCTGTAGAACTTTGCAGGAATTATGAATATGTCATGTATGTCCTATCTGTGAAATTTAAACGTCAGCAGTGTCCTCATATTCAAATTATGCAAGGAAACCCGTTTACTTGCTACACTTCACTGTCAGACACTATTGGGTGACTGACTGGCTTTTTTCTTCTTTGGTAATAACATACATGAAAAGAGTTGTAAAGGGTTCATAGGCATTTGTCTACATCAATAACCCACTTCTTGTGATGGCCAAGATTAAATTGATGGAATCTTTGCGCAGCATAAAACGTATGACCATTCGGTACAATTGTCTGAAAATCAAGACTATTACTTTTGGGCTCTATAGCCCTAAAGTTGATTTGACAACTAATAGTCATTATTTTCCCACTTGAAGACATTTTCAAGCCCCACCTTTTTTAGGGAAGTTCTAAATAAGTATTTTCTTTCAAATGCAGTTGGAATTTAACTTTTTCATTTTTTTTGCCTGCAAATGGGACATAGTACCTTTAATCTTAAAGTCTTGGTCTTGAATCAGATTGCTATGAGAGCAAAGACCGAATGACATGCATGCATTCGTAACATCATTACAGTTGTAAACTAATTCCTGTTTTCATTGCCGTTTCAAAGATGAATAGGAGGAAAGAATGTTGTTTACTTTCAGAGTGCCGTTTTTCTCTTATTTTAGTTTGTTTGTCCGTTTTTGCTCTTAATGTGTACACTCTTAAACTATAATTTGTGATCATGTATGTACGTTTATTCTCGTTTCAGTTTCCATGATCCTTTGTAATCTTTGCCAATTTATTTATACTAAAATCGTATCTACAATGTATCTACCTCTATCCCTCTTTCACTGTATATCTCTAAATAAAAATCACGTACGTAATCTTGCATTTGTTTCTCATTTTTGCCTCCTTTTCATTTTTTCCACTTCCTTCTCTCCCCATGTCTTATTCAGTTAAGATGACTCGGAAGCACAAGTAATCAAAGATGGGGTTTCAAAATAAAATGAAAGGGAAGGAAATAAGCCACTAGATGTGACACAACCATTCTGCCTATATAACTTTAACTATTACAAATATAAAATCCCAAATGGTAAGTAAATGTTGAGAATATCTACATGATTGATGTTTTTTCGTTCACGTTATTTATTCGTTTTTAATGCCTAAAAGTTACATTTTGAAATGATTAAATTTATTAAAAGTCTTTGTAGAAGATGGATACCCTTTAACGCGTCACATACATGCGCGTACACAGGGGGGAGGGGTTCGAGGGGTTAACCCCCCCCCCCCCTTGGTATTTTTGTGTGTGTAAACACCCCCATAACCCCCCTAAACCCCCCCTTTTGGATTTTTTTTTATTAAAAAAAAAAAATATTCCCATGACTGACCTAAAAAAGCTGACCTTACGCCCCCCCCCCCCAACGGAGCAAAATTCAAATTTTCAAATTTTGAGACCCCCCCCCCCCCCCCCCCAAAAAAAAAAGTGTCCTCTTACAGCGGTTGGCTGAGTTACATAACTGTCAACGAGGATTATTTTTCAATATTTCATACGGTTACATGTTTTACATAATGAGTGAATATAGTTCATGCTGTTTCTTGTAAACCATGCCAGTGACACAAAAATGTAATATCCTACAGTGTTCCATGGATCTGGGCGTAAATGTTAACACTTACAACATTACGATTGTTACGTTGAATAAAGATGATATATTATACTCATGATAATAAATACGTTTCTCTTCAAATAGGACTATTCGATCATTGAGACGGCGGACTGCAGGCGACATGGCTACATCCTCACGGATATGACCCTAGGCTCAGGCACCTATGCTAAGGTTAAACTAGCCCGAGCCATGAAGAGGAAGATTGCACAGACAGCTAAATTGAGAGATGATCTAAGGATCAAGGGACATAACATGGTAATGAACCAGATCAATTGTAAATAAAACTGTTGGGTGAAAATCTCCAAAAGCGTCTGATCAATTTTAGGCTATAAAGGCCCAAATTGGACGATACTTTGCTTGATTTTTAGTAAAAGGTAACCATGATTAAGTTCGGCATAGGATGGTTCAAACATCGTTCGAATTTACAATTACCCCTCCCCCACCCCCACCCCCCCCCCCCCCCACACACACACATGTTTGGGGCCAGTTTTCAAACCTTAATGTCATTATATACCTTTTGAGTAGAATTCGCACTTTCAATTCATGACGGTACTAAAATGTAAAAGGAAAATGAAACCGAAGTAAGTTTTCATGAACGCCTTAAACTAAAAAAAAAGAAAATTTAAAATGTTTCGTTAGTATCAAATATGTAGATATATCGGTATTTAAAGGTAGGCTTTACTACTTCAGCCAGAAGGGATTAGACCGCCCAGCGAACCAGCGAGTTCACTGTGACAGGTGGCTATCTCATTAACTCAGCTCTCATTTAACATAAGAAAAAGAGGATCATGGGGGACCAACAGACACCGATTGGGGCAGTTTTCTATATAGAGGGAGCAAGTAGCTACAAGTAGGACAGTGTGCCTTTAAAAGCGCCCATTTCCTCGGATCTAGCACGCCGTTCTTGTGGTTGCTGCTTGCTGTTGATGTAGTTGTTGTTGTTGTTGTTGTTGTTGTTGGTGGTGTTGTTGTTGCTGCTACCGCTTGTGTAGCTATTTTTGGAGGAGATTTTGTTGGTAAACACTCATACCAATTAAGATTCAACATTATTTAGTTGGTGAAATTTACAAAACTTTTTATTTTCATTTTTATCATGAGGTATATAATTCAAAAACTTTTCCAAATCTGTCAGTAATTGCTTTCCTTGTTTATGTCTCTTCTAGGTTGCGATAAAGATCATCTCAAGGAGGGATGCTCCGACCGAGTATCTCAAGAAATTCATGCCCAGAGAAATAGATGCCATGAGAATAACTCACAAACACGCACATTTAGTAAGTCAGCTTTTGTATTTTAAACTGTACAGTGTACATTATGTATTAAATTTCAAAGGAAGTGAGGGAACATTTATGGTGATGAATTTTCTTTAGGGGAGAATGATAAAAAGTTCCGAGCATTGCATAAGACCCGTCGGTAGCGTAGTGATTGATAACATCTGCTATCAGGTAAATACCAGAACGGTGTCAAATTCCCCATGCCTTTGTGTCTTTAATCATATTTTCCAAATATCTTCGTCAGATTCAACTCTACGAGTTCTTCCGGAGCGAACGCGGAGTCTATCTTGTCCTCGAATATGCTGCTCATGGCGATGTTCTGTCCTACATCAATGAAAGTGTCCTAGAGACAGGCATGGCAGTGGAAGAAGACAAGGCCAGACAACTTTTCCGTCAAATTGTGTCCGGGGTAACCTTCTGCCACGATCGGAATGTGGTCCACAGGTAAAATATAAATCAATTAAAAAAATCTTTTGTATAATTATTTGCGCAGATTTTTCGAAATCAGATGTTGAAGCTTTTCATCCTGCACTTTTCAGAATTAATCGAAAGAAATAATGAACAGAGAAGTTAATAACTGGCTGTGATTGGCTGCTAGATATCTATTTTATATTGCCAACTCTCTGTTCGTTCTTGCGATTTACTCTGATGAGTTCAAGACGAAATTATCTGTAGAGTCTGTATTCCTTGCTATATTATTCGATTTTGTAGTACCAATAAACTCACAGAATCCAAAAGAGTTCTTGATTTGAAATTTTGTCCCCTAAGTCTAACACTTTTGATAGCAACAATTAGACTACATATAAGAAATCTATGAAGCAAAACAAAATTGTTCATGTATAAACCATTAAGTTTTTTAGAAGTTTGCTATCTTCATAAGATAGTGAAGTGTTTTTGGCGCACGTTGAAGTGGTTCGTGTGTAGCGAATAAGCTGCACAGATATTCCAGAAATATATACATGTATATCTAGGTCTACAATATAATATGTATTTTGATCGTGCGAAACGATCACAAATGAGTACTCTCCAAACGATGACTCGATCTGCTATCGTAGGTAGATAACATTTTCGGTGGATTTTAATTTATTTCATTGCGCTTTTTTTAAAAGAACAATTCCAATCTAGCAAGGTTGCACAAGTTTTTTTTTCTTCTATCACTGCAGGGTATATATAATTTCAAATAAGACGTAAAGTCCTATGGAGGCAGCCATCGGACGAAGATAGCAAATCATTACCAATTGTGAATTTATACTCCAACACAGATTTACTTTGTAATGTAAAACAATTTGTAGTAAAGATAAACAATTCTTTAAATAGAATTAGTTTGATGATGTACACTTTACAATGAAAACTTTTATTTTTGATTTGTTTCGGTGATCGCACGTTTGTGACATGTATTAAGTCGTAAGCCTGAGACCAAAGCACAGATGTCGGTCTACTTTAGAGTCGAAATAACAAATAAGTCAATATACCACTTTCAAATCACATAGTAGGTCTCTTTGAGGAATTTTAACGGAATATTATTTTTCTGTAGAACTGTAGTGGTGACGATCCAATTAATAGATACGGGGAAAGGGGAGGGGGTATAATTAATGTAATCGGCGTATTCAGTATTCAAAAGAGAGGGTCCATTTTACACATATTTGAGAAAACATTATAGGCCTGTATGCAGAGATCTAATGGTTAAAAGGATTATTTCTGAAAACTAACATTTTGAACGAATTTTCTCCTGTTTTTTTGTTAGGGATTTGAAATGCGAGAACATCATATTGGATGAAAACTGGAATGTCAAAATATCAGGTAATAAAAAAAGTGTAATGGTAAAAAATTAAAAGGATATATCGATCGACAGATAAACTTGATTTTCAAACATTGTTGTTTTAAATCCTGGGTCGTATTCTGAAAACAATGTCATAACAATCTGAAATTGCGCGGAACAAGCACTTATTTACGGTCCTTGCGCCTATATTTCTTTTAAATTTTCAGCTAGCTTTACGAGAGCATTAACCAATTAATTATCCTAATTCTTCAATTCAATTGGCATCGTTCAAGTAACATAAAGGATATTTCAAAGTGCGAGTGAAAATTTACCAAACAAAATTAGTATAACACTACGATTTTAAAAATCTTATGTAATAAATTCACATATCTTCACTCACTTTACTGGTAGATTTGATTTGACAATGATTTTAATGAAAACAGCAGGAATTGCGGAGGACTAAGAGCCTATAGGAGCAAAACGAATAATTCAATAACCTGTTGATTGATTGATTGACATGAGGCTTTAAACAGCTCTCTCTAAATCCCCCATTTTCTCGGTGAGTCTCATTTTCTTTCACTATCCCTCTTATTTTCGTCCTGTCCCGCCCCCTTTTAATACACATCCCGACTCCTAACTTCAAACCTGTTTCTCGTCTACTTCTTTCCCTGTTTTTTTTTTATTTTCATGCTCACATCAGACTTTGGCTTTGCCTGTCGTTTTCCATCCAATCGTTGCAACATGTTGTCGACGTTCTGCGGTTCCTACGCCTACGCCGCCCCGGAGATTATGGCGGGAAAGAACTACGACGGAAAGCTCGCTGATGTTTGGAGCCTGTAAGTAGAACTTTCTTCTTTTTTTAAAGTAAATTTGATAAGAATTAGTTTTTTTAAAAAACGGTCGCATTGAATTATAAACGGAAGCGATATAGATCTGTTTTATATAAAAAAAAAATAAAAAAAAGTTGTCCTGTTTGTAGTAAATGTTATGTTGATATACAATTCTACATTTCTCTCCTAATTTCTAATTGTCATTGACAAGAAGAAGAAAATGCTTCATCAGAAATGTGAGGCATTTTATTCAATCAATTCAATGAAATGTTTATTGTATAATTCACTTTATTTACATGTTTATATCAATCCATGTAAACGAAATCGGAATGTTTCTGTTGATTTATCCAACAAGAATTATACACATTATTTCCCGATCTGTATCCTCGAGTAAGGATTTTTAAACAGTTATTAGTGAAGCACATCTTTATTCAGACTCCACATATCTTCGATTTAATTCCCTTTTCTCCCTTCATCTCCTTCATCTTCAATGACACTGCTTTCAAAACTAAGATAAGAATATCTTCAGTTTATACCACAGCAATTTCATTTTATATTCTACATTTCAGTGGGATCATTCTGTATGCCCTGGTCAACGGTCGCCTTCCATTTAACGATCAAAACCTGAATACACTCATGGACCAAACGAAGAAGAAAATCAAATTTCAGCCATGGGTCTCCAAAGGTAAGAAATAAGGCATTAATCCTCATTATCAGGTCTTTCGGAGAGGACCTAAAGCCGTCGGTCCTCTGGTTTTTTACTAAAATAACCACCACTACTACTAAATGATCAGCATTATGTTAATTTTCCTTGGCGTTCTTTGCTTATCTCGAAAAGTAATGTCATTTGTCGTTTGCTGTTTTCATGGCTTTAATTTAGATTTCGTGAACAACGATCCTTAAACCCTGTTGGTTTTATAGCGATCTTACAATGATAGAAATACTAATAATTTTCCGACGACATTCTGATCTGTTATTTGACCGTTTATGTAATATATTATTTTGGATAAGGCCGTCGTTGAGATATGGGAAAGGATGATGGTCTCTGCAAAGTCCAGTCATAATTCGACATCTCGTCGCCTCAATGAAATTCTCTCTCCCTCTATCCCCTCCTTCCTCTGTATCTACGTACATGTATATCTCTACGTCTCCCTGTCTGTACACCGCTTTATCTCTCTCCCTTCTTTATTTCCCCTATCTCGTTTTATGTCTTCTCCTTTCTTCTCTCTCTCCATCACACACAACTCATACCCCCTGTTCCGTTCGCCTCCTCTCTTTGTCTGCCTGATCCCTCTTTCGCAATATCTCTCTCTCTCTCTCTCTCTCTCTCTCCCCTCGCTCCCTCCATGTCTCTTCGTACACTTATCATCTCTCCCTTTTTCTTTCCCTTTCTCTACATTTTTCATCCATCTCTCCATCTTTCATCCTCTTCCCATCTCTCTCTCTCTCTCTCTCTCTCTCTTAATTCCTCTTTCTCCCCTCGCTCCCTCCATGTCTCTACGTACCCTTATCATCTCTCCCTTTTTCTTTCCCTTTCTCTACATTTTTCATCCATCTCTCCATCTTTCATCCTCTTCCCATCTCTCTCTCTCTCTCTCTCTCTCTCTCTCTCTTAATTCCCCTTTCTCCCCTCGCCCCCTCCATGTCTCTACTTACCCTTATCATCTCTCCCTTTTTCTTTCCCTTTCTCTACATTTTTCATCCATCTCTCCATCTTTCATCCTCTTCCCATCTCACTCTCTCTCTCTCTCTCTCTCTCTCTTACTTAGCCTGCATCCATCTCATTCGGAAGTTGTTGCGTCAGAGACCGCTGCTACGCTTGCACGCGAATGAAATAGTCCACCACCCTTGGGTTTGTCAAGAGCCTAAATCCAATCCCTGGCACGAGGGGGCGGCCGTCATGTACGAAAATGACCCCTCCTTCAATAAGAAACAAGTAAGTTCAAACACTTGATCGAGTAAAAACGTTTTAACTTTTATATGTACACTGTAAAAAAATAATAGTCTAAATAACTCAATAAAATTGAGGAAAAGAATTGCCTTATTTTTATTAAGTAAATATAACCTACGGCATCTTAAGTAGAATTAACTTATTTTGCTGAATAAATTTTTACTCAGTTAAATCGAGTTACATTAACGTAAATAATTAAGTATTGTAATCATTTTAGATAATTAGAAAAAAGCTATGATAGGATTACATATTGCACGATTTGGTACCCATCTAATCTAACAAGTAACATCCACTAATCATTCACTACTTCTATTTAAGATTTAACCGTATATATATATATCTACCACCATCACAATCCATTACATACGCTTCAATTCGACACATATCGAAATGCTCCAAATTTTATATATACTTGATCGTATATACTTTAACCGTATATATATATCTACCACCATCACAAACTATTACATACGCTTCAATTCGACACATATTGAAAGGCTCTAAATTTTTATATATACTTGATCGTAGCATCTTAAAAGGAAAGTTGGTTGACAATTTCCTGAAATATCAAGTTTTGATTTGTTTTGAACTGGGTAACAATTAAAAGTTGTCTTGTCTTTGCTTAGCCATGTTAAATGAATTAGTAAATGTTTTAAAGTCCTTAAATTTTCATTCAACCACAAAAAAAGAATTGTTTTATTTAAAAAAGAGTTTAATTTGGTCTTAATGAATATTCATAAATTATGTAAATATTTCTATTACGCACTGCATCGGTCCTTACTTTAAAAAGATAAGAATAATCAACATAAATTGTTTGAGTAATACGTATAATTTCTGATTTTGAGTTAAAATTACCAAATTAATACAAGCTGAAATTACTTAAAGTTCTTATGTATTTGATTTTACTTAAATATTCCACGTATGTTCTACTAAATTGAAAGTTTGAGTTAGCAAGACTTAAATTTAGTGCGTAAGTGGCAAAACTAATGTTTTCAAGTAAATTCTACATGGAAAAAATACGTAAAAATTACCAATGAACAAATTCTTTTTTACAGTGTAGCAAAGCACTGATATTTGTTCATTCCTATATTGTCATATGAATTATCCCTATAAGTTCACAGTCCCTAGCATAGAACACAGACATGTATGTCTATTTGTTTTCTTGGTGTTCTAGCAAAAATAACCCCAAACCTAAAAATACCCCTTCCCCGAAGGAAAAAATATCATGACAAACGAAAATGTCTAACAGAATTTCGAAGAATTACTAGTAGATCCCAACTACCATTATAGTGATTATTAAATATTGTTAAGCCGTGGAAAGGGTGTTCATTTAACAGGCTTTCAGTTTAGTAGTACATTGAATGTCAGGATTCTCTCATGTCGACCATTTTGCAAGCCGAGTTTGATCTTGAAGCTATAAAGCATAAGCATCTACAAGCTGAAACAGACCTGCGCGTAATTTTCATATGTAATTTTCGTATGTTATCGACGTTGACTTTATATTTATGAACACCTGTGAGTCTGTAGGGATGGCACATTCAACCCACGCCCCTCTCCTTCCTTTGAAACCACTATAGCCTCCCTTGAAAATATTAGCTTGCCTCATTTTTCAAATTGCGATCCACTCTGCTTGAGAAAGTTCTTAATTTTTTTTAGTCTTTCCATCGATTTATGACGGTGACGGAGAGCGTGCTCCAGGTCGAGCGGCAGGACCGTCGAACGACCATCCACGACGCCCAGCAGCAAACCATGAACACATTGGTGAAACCGACGACGACGACCAAGCAATCGACAACGGCTCCCATGACACTGTCGATGTCGCCGAAGAAAGACACAGTCCGTGGTCGATCATCACCGTCCAAGACACCAGTTCTGCTCGCCGATGGCCGGATTGTGAAGAAAGAGCTGAAAGGAATAATGGGTAGGCTTGATAAGTCACACCCTTTTTTGGCTTGCACATTCGATTTTATTCAGACGTTTACAATATTATTCTACCAAATAGTCAAATCCATTTATAAATTTTGTCACCTTAAATAACTATTTTTGATATCTGTTCGTGTGTTCCTCAGATGAAAAGTGATGACATCATCGACGTTGGTTTCCTATCCGAAATTAAAGTTTTATTTGTTATTAGTTGTCCACTGACAGTTCCTCAAAATGCATCTTCCGTTATTTTTACCACTTTCTCTTCATCATTTTTCTTCTCTCCTTTCTTCTTCTTTCCCTTTTCTCACTTTTTTTTCTTCTCTTTCGAATCCTTCACCTATTCGTTATTTGCCTCTGTCTGTAACGTTTAACTTACATGTACATCACTCCACAATCAAGCATCTTTTTTTTAGACAAACCAAAATAGTGACGACCTTTCCCGTTATAAATTTTTTTCAGTGGAAGAAAAGAAGAATCCTAAGGAAGCCGAACGCTACGAGTACGGCCCCGAACACAACAAGTACTATGGCGCCAAGCTAGTCAACTTCAAGAAGAAACTGGCCGCTATCCAGTCGCCGTTGACCGCGCCCAACTACGCTAGCACCATGCGAAACCGTATGCGGAACCTCTACCGTCGCATTCTGGCCGACTACCCCAACGGCGAGCACCTATTCGACATGGAGAACGAGCCCGGGAAATGTTTGGTGACGAAGAAGTACGAACCCCACGAGCAGGTTGACGATGACGATGAGAAATGTGACGTTTCTGTCGACGATGCAGCGCGAGCCTTAACGGGAAAACATCGGGACAAAGGAATAAATATTCCAACTAAGGTAAATGCATAGGATAGGGCTTAATTATTAACCTGAAAGCTTAAATACTTTGCTGGCCATCCACATGACTAATGTACAGTAAGTCACGGTCATTTTCTCGGCACTTTTAAAACTAAAAATTTGAGGAAGAACTTGAAGTCACTTGAAGAAGTATCAAGCGTGCAGGCGGCCAGGTTTCCAAAGAAAAAGAAGTTGACAAAGCATATCACACTTAAACACGGAGTACCTTTTTTAATCAATATATTTGTGCATTCGAAAATATTATTCTATACTATCTGTAGCACATTTTGATATGTTGTGCTTATAGGCTACACGAACTGATCATTACAAAAATTTATCGTTTCATTTTTGTTTGTTCTACTAATTTTTTTATTATCTTCGAAGGAGAGTGGTGAAATCATGAAGGAAGCTGTCTTCGACAATTTCATGCCTGGGGTTCCCAAGACCGCCCCTCCACTGCCCGGAGAAGACAGGTCCCTCCCTATCGCCACTGTCGCCGTCACCGACAGACTCCAGTCCAGTGGAAGTCGTCGTCGTACTTCGATTAAAACGAAGGCGACAACGGTCAAACAACCGCCGACGCCCGTGATCTCCTGCGAACACCAGAGCGACAAGAACATGAGCTTGACTTCCACGAATCCGCCGTGCAATGACGAGGAGACGCCTGACGCGATGGCGAAAGCGACGACGAGTAGGAAAATGCTGTCGATAAGGAACACGGTGCCAAGATCGAAGCTTAAGAAGTCACCGCCACCATATTATGCACCTTCTGAGCAACGCAGTAACGTTGGGCATTCCTCAGAAAAAGCCTTGAAAACAAGCAATAATTTATATTCGCATCTACAGTCGAGCCTCCCTGTGTTGAAGAAAGTGGCTGTTTAAATCCTAAACGAAATTCGACTCCGGTATGAAATTCAGTCAGGCCTTTGGATTTCGGGGAGTATGGAAACCAAGATATACGAAGGCTGAAATTATTACGTTCTTGGAGCACGTTCAAGCGCCTGTGCTAGTTCGGGATTATTTAGCGACAAGGAAAATGTTAGCATGTGTTTATTAAAATCATTGAGAGTCGCATATGAATAGTACAAAAAAGGATGATGTAAAATAGCGATATGAAGAAATAAGAATACGGATTAGGAACACTTTTAGGCTATAGAAGAAAGGATTTGCTGTTGATTGTGCTAACATATAACTATGTCAAATGCTGATGAGCATAATTTTCACATTGATTTGATTCCATACCCGTCCTCTTAATCTAACGAGAGGGGGGAAAAGAGAAAGTTTTTACAGGGTGACGACTCTCTTAATGCGCCTCACTATCTTGCATTATCCTGATGAATGGCAAAGCGCCATCTTCGACGGATCCCATGAATGCGACACAGCTTAAACCAATGACAATCAAATAAACTCAAACACGACTGAGCTTGCAGGAACAATAACATTGATGTCAACCATCTACAGCTTTGACAAACTTACTGTATAGATAAAGATATTTCTAAAATCTGTGTTACATAAATTATAGATGTATCATTGAACTGTGAGGGAGTGCATGGAAGCTACATGTACATTACCTTTTTCTTAAATACAATATTTGAAGAAAGATGAATTAGGCTGGTTAACAAACAAAAAAATGTGGAAAACAAACCATGAAACTCAGAGAAATTATCAATACAGAGAAGAGAAACTTCAAAGGATATTCAGGGCCGAGAAGAAGTTACCGAGAATGAGATGGAGAATCGTTGCGGAACTTTAGGGGAAAAGAATAAGTAGGGAAGATTTAGCTGAGGGGCAGAACGAGGAGAAGGAGTACGGAAGGAGATGGAGGGTGTGCAGGCTAGGAGAAAGAGAAGGAGTAGGGGAGGATATAGGGTATTCGATGAGAAAGAGAGAGTGATATAGAAAGTGAGAGATAGATAGAGTGGATAGGAAAAAAAGGGAGAGAGAGGGAGGGGAAAGAGAGATAGAGGAACTGAGGAAGAGAGAGGAAGAGAGTGGGGAGGGAGGAGGATATAGATCAACTGAACGATTCAGGTTACAGAGTTTTAAAGAGAGAGAGAGAGAGAGAGGGGGGGGGGGTGGACTAGGGAAGGGATTGAGTTCCGAACTGAGTTGAGTTCCGAATATGGGAGAACTGTGGATTTCGTTGGAGACGCGCTGGATTTTCGAATCTCAAGGAGCTTCCATACTTTTTTTTAACTTTACCCAAGTCCCTCTCGACCCAGATGTATCGAATGGGTAACTAGCAGTGATTGGGTGTAACAACTGCAAGGCCCTCAGGAAGTGTGGCTACTCAGGGTAAATAAGAATAATGATTACAATTATTATCATTATTATCATCATTAAAAGCAGGACCAAGTCCGTGTCTTCTTGAAAGGCATAGCTTTAACAAAAAGGAGTATTTTGTACTATTATCATTATCATTTAAATCATCATCATCATCATCATCATCATCATCATAGTCATCATCATCATCATCATCATCATCATCATCACCATCATCATCATTATTATCATCATCATCATCATCATCATTATCATCATCTAGATCATGATTATTGAAAATAAAGAAGCAACTAGCCTATCATGTTTACTCTACTGCCATCGTTTGACGAAGGGGGGGGGGGGGATTAAAATATGTGTCTTCTAAAACCTTTGAGAAGAAAGACGAACGGAATAACAAAATGACATGACATTTTCAGTCTTATATAAATGATGACAAACAAAACAAAATAAAGAAGTTTGAAAGCGGGTCAACTTCACAAATTATTATATAATTCACGCCAAGTAGGGTGGCTGAAAACTGAAAAAGGCACAGAGGCTTTAGAAATGTTGACATTCTACATTATATACCTCTCTTTAGAAATCTAGCCGTCTGATTGGGGGAAAAATCGATCTGTATTAATCAATAACTTGAGACCGCACCTTTCCAACTAATTTGTACCCACAAGATCCTCCTCGAGTCGTGTCGGCTTCCTTTGTTGTTTTGTCAATTCAGTGCTAGCGCAGCGTTGACGTCACATTATACACATGACTGTACTGTGATTTGTGCTGCCACTGCACTGTTCGGCGTCTGGTCCTAAAATTGACACGATATTGAAAGGTAATTAACATTTTTTGTAACTGCCATAAGTGAATATCGTGATATTTATGCTCTTCTAACTTCCTTGATGCTGAAGAGGGAATATTTTGGTATGAACTTGATGTGTTGACACATTTCTAAAGCAGAGTATAATGTTTTGATCTAGGATGCAGTCCCACATGTGGTTTTTCTTGTAGTGTAATTCGTGAATCGTACTGACCTAGGGATATGAGTATGAGTATGATATGAGTATGACTGAGTATGAGAGTGAACGGTGTTATAATCCAATATGCATGCCGTGTGTATCTATTTCATATGTTTGGGGATTGATATTAATAAAATCAAATTAAGTCTTGCTTGCCTTCTCACTTCTGCAAACAGTTTATTAATTTGTTGCTTTTATAAAACAAGTGATGAGAGAGAGGCCTGTGTGAGAAAATATTACTGAAAAAAAAATTATTACAGCAAAACCGAATGATAATTTTTTTAAACCATGATATTATTGTCACTCTCAGTTTTCTTTTTTTGTAAAATCCAAATTTTGGAACACAGTGTGTACTTACATTTAATATAAATATGTTTGTTGAGATACCAGTCACTGTTGGATTTTACATTTATATATTTTTTTTAATCTCTCTTTTATATTCTGTTATTCCCTTTTTGATTTATAAATATTTCTCCCTCATTTTTTATTCTTGAATGTGTCTATAATCTATATCCACACACTGTGTTTATTTCATAAATATATCTTCCATATCGTAAGACGGGTGATCAGATGTCCTATATTTTTCCCTGCGCCTGTATCAAATAACAATATTTAATACAAATTGTCGAGACCAGGGGATATTTAATCACAGATGGTTACGGTATGTCACATTGTGTATAGATATAATATAAATGTATAATGATTCACAAATGCTAAAGTCTCAAAAGTTTTACTTGCTCACTTTGCTCATAATTTCCTAAGTTTTATTTACATAAAATTCATATTTGAGCAAAAGACAACATGTTTTTTTGGCTTCTTGACAATTATCATACAAGCATGTAATATGTATGTCATTGTACCGGTAAGTCATATTGATTACTCTTTTTAATGAGGATGATAATGCTGTTACTGCTGCTGCTGATCATGTTATTAATGATAACATATAAAAATATCTATGGTGCACCAGTTTCATTAAGGAGCTGAAATACACTTGTACCTAGCACAAAGTATACTTGTACAGTAGGTTGCAAGTTTGCAACTTTAGAATTTGACCAGGGAGCAAAAGTTACAACTCCTTGATCCGATTTATTAGAATTTTTGTTTGTTTGTGGTACCTGTTCATTAATTTGTTTTCTGTTTGTTTGTAATTTTGTCTCACACATTGATGTTAACTCTGTTCTTCCTACATGTAAGTAGTTTTGTCTGAAAATTAGTGGAACATTAAAATTGGATGACATGTACCTATACCCCTGTCTTTTAAATTACTGTAGACCCAAAGTCCCAAATGCAGTGTTTAATAAACATACATCTATAAGATCTTAAATACTTTGGGTATGCGTCACCACTGTAAATCTAGGCTAAAACCTGCATGTAGTATGTAGTAACCAGCCAAGCATAAATATACCCCAAGGCCCATATACATTGTAGGTGACAGAGTGTTTTATTAATCACTTCCTATGGAAGACTAGTACAGGATGGGAAGGAGTGGAATTACCTGTGGTCTTTATTTAGAGGTGTGATACTGGTTCAAAGATTCATTGTAGGAGGGTACAAATTGTTTATTGAAAGTTCAACCACTCAGTTTATTTATTCATTGACTTATTATTTGTTTATTTATTCCATTTATTCCATTTATTTGTTTATTTACTGACTCATTAATTGATTCCATTTATTTATTTTCATTTATTGATTCATTAATTTATTAATTGATTAGTTGGTTAATTCATTTATTTATCCATTACTCTGTATGTAAATGTCTCCTTATGTGTTTGACTAGCGTTAATTATTGTTTATTTTTTGAAAGTTTTCAAGAACTCTTTTTTTTTAAATTTGCCATTTTTAAGTGATAGTTTTCTCACTTTGAGGAAATGTATTCTTTTCATTTACCATGTAGCTCTTTATCAGTACTATTCTAGAGCTCTTATGGACCTTTCAGATCTAAATTGCTTCCAACACTATTAGTGTTTGTATTCTATTAACTACATTTGTTATTCAAAAGTAGACTTCAATATATAGAACACCATACAAAAATGAATTAAAAAACAACAACAACAAGGAAAACATAGATTTTGTACCTGTATGTGATACAAATAATGATTGGATTTGATCTGCTTGAAAACGAAAAAAGTATCCTAGAATGTTAAATGATTGCTTCCGTATTGTGTGATTGCCCTTGATATTTGAGTCTAGGGAGATCAATTATGAAAGCCTTGCCTGGGTGTGACTATACTGTCGAGTGATATTCAAACTGCAGTTTTACGTTTCTATTTCACTCAAGAATGGTTTATGTTGCATGTGCACATGAAACATGTAAATAAAACATGTAAGTGAATGCTTCTAGGTTTATATGAAAATCTTGAAACAGTATACATGAATGTGAGCTGAAATGATGGTATTATAGATTTGAGGCACTCAACGAACACTTGTAAAAGATATTATAATGTTTCGCAATAAAGTGAAGTTGACAACCGAATGATAGAAATGCATTGGGCAACATTCAGATTTCTTGTCTGAGCCATACAATAAGAGAAAACCATTCGGCACACTTTTTATGAAAGAAGCTCAGTTGAATTTTAAGGGTTTTTGATATTAGGAGAAAAGTATCCTACACGTACAGTATATGTAATCGCAAATGAATATTTTGTGATAATTTATCTTTTGTCATAAGATGTCACCATTCATCATGTACATGTATGCCTAGTGGAATATTAGACATAGAAAAAATGAAAATAAAATTGTTTTAAATGTATAAAATTGTTATAATTGGTACTCAAATTCAATCCTGTACAAACATGTGTAGATAATGGCAGCCATTAAAAACCACTTTTAAAAACAGTTTTAGATTCATAATTGTAGCATTTGCATATTAACTCCAAATATTGAATATCACAGGAACCTATAAGTTTATTGTTCCACGTTTGGATCTACTTTCTTCTTTCTGCTTAAGATCAAAGATAAAGACCAGTAAAGAAAATGACTCCCTGCCTAGCACCAGCAGAGTTGTCAATTTGAGGATTGAATACCTTTAGATTGGATGGGATTAATGTTGTTTTCATGGGGGAATGTCAGCACAGATACATGTACTTTCAACTCAAGAAGTCATCAGCAATGATTGACATGAACACATGAGATCAGACGTAGCCTTAGGGCAGTTGTCTGCAGACAGAAAGAATTTGGGGGTTCATTTTTACACCTACATGTAGGCAACATTCAAAATGACTAGTCTGGCAAAGACTTTTTTGTTGAATGTTATGAGGGCAATAACAAAACATACTTTGAAATGTATTTCTCTTAGAAAGAAAGTATCTGACACTGCTTGAGGCTTGGTCTGGATTTTTTTTTTTCCTGAACAGCTGATTACAAAATTATAAAAACAAAAACAAAACAATACTACAATACAATAAAAACATAAACAAACAAAAAAATTGAAGATAGCTTCCTAGTTTTCCTTTTGCAAGCAAGTTTCAAGTAAATTAAGGTCATGGAGTTGATTAAAACAAATGTTTTTTTTTGTACCTCTAGATATGACCACCTTATCCTTACACCAAATGAATTATGAAGTTTTCTTCATTTAGCTTTCAAAGTTATACGATAGAGAGGGTAAGAAACATGTACACTGTAGGTCAACAAATTAAAACATACCCTTCTTTGCTTGTTGGTAAATTTCTTTTGAACCTCTATTTTTTTTAGATATATTGAGACTTATTTTTTACCCTGTGAAGCCTCTCCCCGAGCACGACATGAACATGTACACTAGTAGTTGACATGTTCAAATCCATGATTTGAATTGATTTCCATTACATATAGGTCCTGAGACGCAATATTTGGCTGGGACCCAACTGTGAATCACTGTGGCAATGCTGAGATCCTGTCATAATATAAACAGTTGTAGCCAGAAAATCATACGACAAATGAGAAACCTATTTCGGATGCTAGTGTGTGACACATGCATTTTTGCGCAATAAGGAGTTACTTCTTGCACAACCTGAAAGCCATGTTAAATAGACATGTTGTAACAAAGTCATAGCTACATGCATGCTTTGAACTTGAAGTTGACATTAAGTGAAGAAGCAGTTTTTTTCATACATTTAAATCTAAAGTAAGATTTCATCTCATTCAGCTCAACTTGATTTCAATAATAGTTTTTATTTCAACACTGCTTTGTAGCCATTAATTGGCTGAATCATGCATGTTCATAATGATTCCTTGCAATACATTTCACATTGCTTTAAATCATAGAGACACTCATTAACTTATTGAGATATGGTTTGGTTAAATGTCTAGGTGTGTGCGCTGTCTCAATACATATTTCCCAATTAGACATTTATAAATTAACTTAAGTGCCTGGCATCTAATTCTTTACCCTTAAATACATCTGCTTTCATCTTTTCACTATATAATAATTTTGTATTTTACATAGAAATTTAGTCTGTTCAGTATTTGTAATGTTTCATCTCCCCTATAAATTCACTAACAGTCTGTTGCTATCATTTCTTGCCTTTATTAAAATCAACTTTATATTAGGGTAGACTTTCTTGTGTTACTTTACTAACAAAAAAATATCTGGTTCCTTACAAAACTGCTTTTATCAAAAGACTGTTGAAGCATTGTGTGATAAAAATGTGCATTTAACACCACACACGTCAACAGGTCTGTTTCTTTCGATACCGGTAAATTGGTTCCTCACACCGAATCTCCATCTATTGAAGCCTCCTTTCTGGTTTAATCAAGCAATCAAATGAACTTTGCATGTTTTCAAACATTCTTGACATGCTAGAGTGAAAATGATTGCATTGCATGGGTTTTGATAAGAAACCACTTCAGACTTGGGCATGTACAAAGAGGTTCTAGAGCTCGTTTTCATAACAAATTAGCGCTAGCTTCTGCATATACACAGAAGAAATTGAGCCCAAAGAAGTAAACTAGGGTGTTGGTAGAGATCTGCACTCAGTGGCAATTTCCAACATTTTATTAAGGCTTGTCTCCTTTGTTATATTACTCAACAGGTAGTTTGGGGTGAGATGGTAATTACTATTTTATCTATTCATGCTATCTCGGGGTGGTCCCCATATAAACCTGATATTCTTCTCCACCTAAAGTACATGTATATCAGGCAATCTTGAGCTTTAGTTAATTAGAATTGCTTGAGTGCCTTCGTGGACTACTTCTTGCATGATATGCTTTCAAGTGTTCAGTTGAAGCTGTATTTGTGATCGTGAAGGTCTGGCTTGTATGAATGTCACCAGCTTTTGTATGTACTGTATGCAATGGTGAGAAGATACTCCATGAGTTGAAGCCGGAAGTTTGCAGGCTGATGAAATCTTGGTACTTGTGAGTTGCATAATTATCTGTCATGATTTTGTATAAATGCAGATACATTTTAGTCTGAGCAAGGATAACTCCTTGGTCTGAGACTTTGAGTGATCATGAAGATCTGCGACGAGTATTTATAACAGAATATCGTTAATACCTACACAATGTACTGTGTACATGTATATTATATATGCCTTGTTTAGCCATAGACCTACCACCAGTAGACCTACCACCAGTAGGTCTATGGTTTAACAAAGATGTACTAAATGAGTGTTAAAAATTAAAATTTGATTGGTGGAACCTTATTGTCTATATACTGTATGGTAGGTGATTCTCTAATGGCTTCAGGATCATGCATTTTAGTTACTGATTTCTCTTTAGTGATTTGCAATATATTGGTTGATCTATTACTATGGAGGAAGTTTCTTTTTGAATTTACATTCATGGATAGATCCATAGATTCAGAAGATATCATGATTTTTTGTAATCATAACAAATAAGTGTCAGAATTCAATTTTGGAGGTCAGCAGCACCAAAAGGAGATATAAATGTTTTCCAAGTATACCTACTAATATTGTTATTGTTATTACTCTAAAAAGACTATACAAATCTCGGATTGCATTCATTGAACTGTGGTTTTCTGATATTCTGCAATCCAGTGTAATTTTCACTGAATGCATATGGGTAGTCGTTATGTGCATGACTTCAGACATGTAATTTGGATGATTGCTCTTTTGTTAAAGTTATCAGGCTTCACATGACTTTAAGCCTTATAGCTCTTCTCTATTCCCTCTCTATTGTCTTCAAGATTCAAGAGCTTGTTCGTTCCCAGTAAATCTCAGACCACTGAAGCCTCATTCACATACATATATTAATTTTGACTTTTTACAAAGCTTATCATTAATGTAAAATACAAATAAAACAAATCAGTTTAAGCCCGCGCCCCATCTAACTAGCATGCAGGACATGTATGTTCAACAAAATGTCAACAAACACAGCTGGTTCCGAAAAAGCATGCTTACACTGCGACCTTCGACCATTTACATCGGTGTTTTAATCTGTGTTTTCTCCCGAACCTACTATATTCACAGTGGCCGTTTCATCGGAGTCACACCGTTAGAAAGAAAATTTAATCGCCTATTTCTCTTCTTTTCATCGGCTATTCTATCAGCCTTTTCTCCTCTGTACCATTCATTGGATGCGTCCAGATGCATCAAATGAAAATCAGGCCTGTTTGAAAGAGGGTATTAAACACACACCTATGCTGAAAATTATTTTCCAATTATTTGCATGAACAATTTTATACCACATAACAAATAAGCCAGGAATGTGGTCTTAGAGATTGCTTTGCTCAAAAGTGATTCCAGGACCTCAATTTGTGTTGACACCAAATTAAAAGTAACCCATAATAAACTAGCTAGAACATATCTTGGATCACTTGATTAAGTTGATTTGGTGTCAAACTAAAAGGGATCTCAGAAATTTCTTGCTTTTACTTGAGTTGTTAAGCCTTGCCTGACTTTATGCCTCTGAGCTATTTCTCAAAGCCTTTTCTTCTCTTCATCTGCTTCTTTTGAGACAAGGGTGTGTATGATTGTATGGCTGTTATAGCTGGTGTGACGGATACCGCAATGGCAAGGTTCTCCAAACAAATATAAAAGAAATTACAATTTCGGTAGCGTGTGATTATGATGGTTCAATGAAAATATTTTGAAGGGTATTCAAGTCGATGACCTTACACGTACATGCATGTGCCGACATTTCACAGATTTAAATGTAATGTACAGTGAATTGTGTTACTTCTGTGGGGTTTTGGGTGTGCATTTTCTTTTGTTGAAATTCTTTTTATCAATTTGGATAACCTATTTTATGTTGTTTACAGAAAGTTGGCAAGTTGCCATTGTGTCTTATATAAGTCAAGTCAATTACGTGTTAGCAAGGGGTTTAGATGCTCTAAGCTTCAGCATTATAACTCATTGGTACTAGCCTATAAACATGAAACCTCATATAGAGTAAAGGAGCCCGTTTTCGGCCACTTAAGACAAAATCCTATTTTTAGGAGCCTTTACTTCCTATTTATTATCATTTTTTGTTCAAATCATAAAGCAAATATTATTATTATTTAAACAAAACAAGAATCCCAGAAAAAAATCACAAATTGCCATGACAATATTCATTTCAATTTTCACTGTTTCGGAGTCAGTTTTCGGCATAGCGTACCAGTTTTCGGCCGCATGTACAAAGTCAATAGGAAGCGCGCGCACGCGCCGTGCGTTTCCGCGCTGATCTATAGCACTAGCAGGCGGAGCAGATATCCCACGCCAGAGCTCCCCGGAGCTCGCCAGGCCGAAAACTAGTACTGTGGTGATCGGATATTGGAATCTGAATTAGACAGAGATATCGTGTGTGCGTTGCGGTGTGCGGCTGCATTGATTTAATACATGCCATGAGATACTTTTGAGCTTGCGACTAGCACAAAATCGGGCTCTAAATCTGAAAAATACTTGAAATAAAGCTCATTTTATGGTACCCATATTTCTTACAGACACGCGTAAGATACTCGATTTTTCAGATTCGGGTAGCGGGACCGCCGATTTCATCGCTAAAATGTGATATTTTAGGATATATTTTTCATTGCAAATGTGGTTCTTCAGTGACACTGGCATGGTATGGTATGTGTGGGATATGTGTTATGCTATTATGCGATGTTAGAGTGATTTTACCTTGCATCCAACCAATCGGCCGAAAACTGGAGCTGGCCGATTACCGGCTCTTTTACTCTATATTAAAGTTGTAATAGATCATTTTTTGTCAACCATTTAGATACATTCATCTGATTACTTAACAAGCACTCTAACGTTTCATTCAGTTGTTCTCAACTATCAACATGCTTTGTTTCCTAATGATATTGAGAATGTGGGTGAAGCACTTCTTGCTCAGCGGGTGCTTACTAAATGGTCATATTGCCTGTAAATTGAAAAACAAAATACTCCCTGCAACTGAAAATAATATTGACAAATACTGTTAGCAAATCTACACTGGTATATCTGTATGTCCAATCTTTTAACCCTTTTTTTAAAGCTACCTATATAGTACCTGTACCTGTACCTGTAGATAAAGTACATTATTATACTTCTTCTTAAAAAGATGGGGCAAGTTCTGTATCTGGACGAATCCTATAAATCACTTGCCCAATAGGGCGCATAACATTTTCTTTTCTACCACCCCAATGCCTTCTATAGAGGCCTTTTAGTTTACTTAGGGTCAGTGACCCCACATGTATGATAGTCCAACTCTTCCATGAAACTGACACCAGCCTGACCTAGCTAGGCTTGGGACTTCCTGTGGGGCAACTGTGTCTTCCAGGATCTTCATAAGATTAGCCACTGCACATTACCATGGTGACGGAACAGGAGGAAACATTATGCATAAATGTGTAGACTTCCTTCCTGCTTCCAGTCTGGTATGTCCAGGCTAATACAGTGCGTCCCAGAAAAAACAAAACTGAGAATTATCGATGTTTTATCATAGCTTAATTACAATTATAATTAATAAATGACACATACATGTATTTGTAAAGCTTAGACCCTACTCTTTCATTTGATGCTACTCAGATGATGCATATTTCATGCATGAGTGATTAAAATCAATTTGAAGAAAGGGTACCAAAAAGTCATTTGGCGGATGGTATCTGAATTTCAAATAGAAAATCAAATTTCTAAAAAGTTCATTTTCTGCCCTTTCATGTGACACCTCAATCAGGAAAAACGAGCTAGGAATAACAAAATTCTGTTTGTTTCAAGTAATGCTTGCATTTCCATAATTTTATAAACAAATTCGTTTTCAACTGGCAACAAACAGAATTGACAAATCAGCCATGCATGAAGTCTTTTGTCTATTTCTGGTATGTCCAGGCTAATATAGTAACAAAGTTCTGTAAAGCTGGAATATGTTTGAGAAGAATATGAAATATATAAGCCTTTAAATACACTTTGAAGAGAATTTTGATTACTCGCAAAGATGGAGATCAATATCCTCGAGCTGTCTCAGTTTTGATGAATATGATAGAAGCTACATGTATGAAATGTTGTATTATACGACACCACAAGATAAGGTTGTCATTGTGAGGGGGTAGGGTTGTGTGTCTGTGTGTGTATATTTGGGGGGGGGGGGAGGGTTGGCATGGTAATTCTTTGCTGGGTCTTACTTTTAGTCAAGGGAGTTTGCCTAGAAACTTTTCTATCACCGTCATACACAAGTACATCTACTCTTCTTGCAGTGTGTGTGTAAATTATATAATCTCCTCAGTAGCTTGTGGACTTTCAGAGGTTTTGGTCTATTCTACTTATTCAGATAAAACTAAGCCTGCATGGATTTAAAATGAAAACACAAGGAAAATTTAGACCTCAGACTAACTTCCTTTCCTTTGTTAAAACCGATTTTGAACACAAAAGCCTGGACCCAGCATGAGGTTTAAACATTAGTAGATTAGGGCCCATGAGAACAATACATGTAGGCACTCTGCAGCTAATTCATTCAGGATAATAAGATAGTGTGAGCTAATCCGTGGACTCGCTTCCTCATTGATTTCTTAATGGGCTGCTTTGTCTTCAGACAGACCAACTTGACTCCTTATTAGCGGATTTTTTCTTTCCTGTAGTCTCATTAATGTGGTAGACACTAGCCTCCGGGAAACACGATCTGACAGTAAACGTTCTGAAATACTTCCTGTTGAATTGTCATTTCAATTTCTCAGCTCTGTTAGAAAAACAGACAAAATAAATCAAAACCTACATGTACATATATAAACACATTTTTACAACTTTACTCATACTTAGATGATTTCAGAATAACTCTTTGACAAAATCAAACTGCTAATCTCATTCTGAACAAATTATGAATTGATTTGAATCATGTACAAAAGCATACTATTGGTAATTTTCTTTTAGATGTATTGGGAAACAGGTTGCAAAATGGTTCTTAATTAGTTCAACCAGCTTAATAGTGCATTGTAGGCTGTTAATCTTAACCAAGCAATGGTACATTACACCGTAATCTATATCTGTGTGTTTGGCTGTCTATGCTTTGTGTATTGCAAACGGAAGGCTTAGTTGAACTAGCTTAGTGGTTACAGGCCATTCCTGGTTCTTTGAAAATCTTCCGCCAACTTCTTAAAGAAGTAATCTATCTTAATGTGTTTGTCTGTGTGAATGACTTCATGCTTGAATTTCAAAAGAGGTTTACCTTTACCAGCTTAGTGCATAAAGGCTATGTATGACATCCTCAAGATTAAAGACATAATCAGTCTTTCTTCCTTGAGGCGGATTGTGGCAGAAAGGAATTTAATGGGTTATAGTTGAGGCTTAGGAGCCTTACTTAGCTATTTTCATCTCATAAATGCACAGTTTTTGTGTTGCTTCTTTACATGAAGTATTTTCTGCAGGATGAAGATACAGATTGATTTTCAAATAGAAAACATACAGTGACTGTAATAAGGCTATATGTAATAGCATTCTGTTCACTTGGGTTTTGCATAGGTGTAAGGATATTATATTTAAACCATTCATAACTTTCTTGTTATTGTGCTGATTTATTTCAAACTTTTGCCATTCTGTTCTCTTTTTGTCCCTCTCTCATACAAATGAAATTATTTTAAAAGTTGGATTGCCTTTAAAGAGCATTTAAATGCTCTCATTTGTAGTTTGTGATTGGTGTAGCCTTCAACTTTCAAGAAGCGAATGAACATTACTGACATGACACGTACCTGTAGGTGCTAATTACCCTTTTCATCATCCATGTTGTACCATGAGATGCAGACAGTTGTGCGACACATGCTTCTGCCACAACTGCTCTGCGGTCAATTTCCTACATTAACCATTAGACCATTTTCGTAATGTAATCAAACTTTAAATAAATTTTTACAAATGATTTCATTCACCTGTTACAAATAATTGCATTCCAGAAGTGGCAATGCAAATTGCGTTCGCTATTGTTGCTAGTTAGGACAAACATTGTGACTTGTCCTACCTAGAAACATATTTGCGCATTACTTGGTGCGGTTAATTGTGCGACACATGCTTCTGCCACAAATGCTCTGCGGTCAATTTCATACATTAACCAGTAGACCGTTTTCGTAATGTAATCAAACTTCAAATAAATTTTTACAAATGATTTCAGGCACCTGTTACAAATAATTGCATTTCAGAAGTGGGAATGCAAACTGCTTGCATTAACTGTTGCTAGGTAGGACAAACATTGTGGCTTGTCCTGCCTAGCAACGTATTTGCACATTACTTGGTGGCTCACAAGAGCCTAAACTTTTCAATAAATGGAAGTGAATTCAGTAAATATTTTTAGATTACAATATAGTTTATGAACCTGTATTCACTATTTTGTCTTTTCAGATGAAGGAAAGGTGAATATTTTGTGTCCTCTAAGTGGATGTATGCCTTCAGTGTTATTTTGGACAGATAAGGTACAAGGAAGAGAAGCATATTCTTGGTCTAATACACAGGTGAGTATTTAATTGTAAGATTTATTCATAGTTTTTATTGCCTCATGTTAAAATGAAAATATACTTCTTTTTCTATGTCAACAAGATGTTTTTATCAGTGAGAAGACTAGAATTAAGTAAATGAATTTTGGAACGAGAAACATCAGATTATCTATCTATTTAATCATCATATAGAGTGGTGAAGTGTGCACGTCATCAAAAATCTATTTTTAGAATTTCTTAATTTTTTCTTGATATTCTGAAAGAACACCAAAAATAATGTCTGAATGTCGAAAAACAATTGAACATGTTAAGTATTGGCTGAGATATGACCATCTGGATGAATAAATGTCCTATGGGAACTCAGTGTTATATGCTCTGAGTTCCTATGGGGAGTATATTTATTCTGATGGTCATATCTCAGCCAATATTTAACATGTTCAATTGGCTTTCGACAGTTGGACATTATTTTTGATGTTTTTTGGGAAAATGAAGACAAAATTGAGAAATTATAAAAATAGATTTTTATAACGTCACAGCTTCGGTACTCTATTGACTAGTATATATATTAATTTATGTAACTGTTTTACATGTGGGAGCTTGTTTATGTTTTTACAGTGTTACTTGTACGTTAGAGCTCTCCAAATCTATTAGCATGTTCAGACACAAGAAATTCATGTGTAACACGTAAAAAGAATCGTTGTATAAAGGCTCATGGCATATTAAATGGAGCATACAGACCAGAAAACAAAGTTGTATAGGGAAATATATAAAAGGCTGATTTTTAACAGGTCAATTGACATGGCAGCTTGCCAGCTATTAACTTGTGTGTGTATGATTAGCCCCGCCCAATCGTATGACTTTCAGCTTGAGCAGGACCTTGATTCTTTATCAAGTTCTCATTCAAGAGAAAGAGAGAGAGAAGGAGAAAGATGTGGAAGAGAGTGAAAGTAAGAGGTAAAAGGAGAAGTGAGTGAGAGGTTGGAGGAGGAGGAGGAGGAGGAGGAGGAGAGAGAGAGAGAGAGAGGGGGGGGGGGGGAGGGGGGCAGACAGAGAGAGGGAAAGGGGCCAGTGAATTAGAAATAGAATAAGTTTTTACCCCTCCCCCCTCCAAGAAGTAAATCTAAATTTAGAGGCAGTGTAGCAGACAGTTAGAATTAAATTACTAAAGAAAGGTGTAACCCGGAGGGTGGAGACATAAGAGAGACGGTTCAGCCCTCAATATATTCACAGAGAAAAGGTCTAGACATTTGAGGTCTGGTTGAAAATATCAATTTTGTAATCAACACCTGAATTTCCAGATGCCATTGTGTTATGAATTCTCTTGTCTAACTCCCATTTCATATCAAAATCATAATAATGATATAATCTTGAAACATATTAGCTTCCTGTCAACGTAATTCATGTTTGGCTCAGACAGAACACTCATGATATCACCACGGCAACAAAATGATAGGCTGACTTCACAAGTTAGTTCCGAGTAGATGTACATGTATATCAATTTCAGGATCTGCTGTCTAGCAAATGTTTGACCACTGACCAACTAGAGCAGTCTTTTCTCAATCTTCATGCAGTGCAGATCATGTCAAAATACAAATAACAAGGAATTTGTTTCAATCGGCTCACAGTAGAAGTAGAAATGGATATGTTGTCAATGACAAAAGCTGATGATAGTATAGCTTGAGCTTGACAGAGCTGGAGGAAACTAGCAGTGAATACAGTCATTGTGTCCGCAGGTTATCCATTCATTCCTGGCGGGGACCTTACACTTGGACTGACGTAGGTACTTGTCTCCCGGTCTGACCGACTGCGGGATGTACTCGGACTCTAATCTGATTTGACCAGACCTTGATACCAAGGCAACTTTTGTTGTGAAGTGTGATTGCTTACATTTGTGGATAACCTGTGATTGTGTACTCAGCTAGCCTTTGATTTTGATTGTTAATATCTGTTGTTTCTGCTGTGCTTGTTCAAGTGCAAGGAGTCAGTGTTTTTTTTCTTCATTTGGAAAGCTGATTTGAATTGGAGACCTCATTGTGCTTTTATGTAAGTCTATAGTTCAATTTTTTTAGTGATAATTATCAGATAATCAGTCACTGATATGGTCATGAAAGCAGTACATTGGAAACTCCCTACTATGATTATATTGGAACCATGACAATTACCTCATTGTTTGAATTATATTGTTATATTTATTTCATTTCACTTTATCAGGAGTTTTCACTACAAGGTTGGCTTTGAGAGGAAGAAACCTTATCCCTGCTTATTTTGATAAAAATGATAGATGTAATGGAAAATATTCTTTTTCAATAGCATTGATAAGGATTCTGTCTGTATATAATCCTAAAACCATTGTTGTTTTATTATCATTATTTATTTACTAGAATAGTGACTTTAAACAAATTCCATACAATTGTAATCTTAATTGTTTCTAATCACTGTATATACCCTGATTTTTCAACATATTTTTCCACAACTGAGTTAGCTCCTACAAGATTATGTGGAGGTTATTCAGACTCTTTCTTTTTTTTTTTATATTAGAATATTGTTGATGGGAAATGGTTTATTCTTTGGTGAAATAGTTTTATAGGTTTATTGCATGCATGGACTGGGTACATTGTATACAGTAAAGTGGGATGTATTTGGATTTCTTCCAAACAGTGTCAAATGAAAATGTCAAGACGTTGGCAACAATCTTCAAGATGCTCCATTATCTGAGAATGGGAAGGAGGAAGGGGGGGGGGGGGGTGACAAGTATCATTAGGAACATAACAAAATTAAAGAAGAATTTATTTAATAATATGTTACATGTACATGTACATGAACAAAGTGATTCAGGCTTTCTTGCAATTGGTGCAGCTTTTAGAATCTAACTACTTGTTATTTATTCATAGTGGATCAAATTAATTTCATTCAATTCAACTCAATTCAATTCAATTCAATTCAAGTTTCACTTTTATTCACATTACAATAAAGAACAAACTACACGTAGCTTGAACAATTAATTTGACACGACAAATGGAGAAGTCTTTTCTTTTAATAGGGTAAAACCTGTTTTAGTGGCCACCTCTAGCTACAATGGCCACCTGTATAATAGTGGCCAAGTATTTTGTCTCCCTTGAAAAGAAATGTGTGTTGTAGAACCTGTCTGTAGTGGTCACTTTTCTGTTCCCCTTGAGTGGCCTTTATAGACAGGTTTGACTGTACATGTACATTAATACCTTTCAGAAGAATGGAGACATTTCACAAAGTCACTTTTTTTTCCTTCATTTTATAAGTTCTTAATCTGTAAATATATGTCCTTGGTATTTTCTATATGAGTGTGTTATCTGAATATGGTGTGTCACTTTTCCAACTTACCCCCCCCCCCCCCCCCACACACACACACACACATTTGGAAAGCTGGAGAAGACCCTTTTTATGGAGAACGCTGACAGCTGAGTGAATTTTCTAGAAATTCTAAGTCTATATTTTGTCTGTAAATGTATCTCATGTTGTTTTCAAGTAAATCTTACATCTTACCTTTTATCCACATTTTTCAACATTAAAAAAGATATACTGTAAGACCCCATTTTTATGGAACAAATTGACAGCGAGATTAATTGAAATCCTTCCTTATGCCCCAAATTCCAAACCTTTGATTTGTCTGTGAATTTGAGTCATGTTGTTTTCAAGTGAACATGATATAATAATTTTAAGGCACATTTTTCAACAATCAGTAAGATAGAAGACCCTATTACTGAAGAAATTGACAGTAAGATTGATAGAAATCCTTCCTTTAGCCCCAATTTCCAAGTCTTTGTTTTGTCTGTAAATTTAATTCATGTTGTTTTTCATGTGTCATGAGTCAGGCCAAGAGGCCCTGATGTTTGAGGGAGAAAATTGTCAGTATCATTCCCAGAATATTTTTATAGATGTGCCACTCACCCATTCCTTAAAGGAAACCTCACCCCAAAGAATAAGTGTACATGTATGCTGAAAATGAGATGTATTCTTGCCCTTTGTTGTACAATATATCCTTCTGAAATTATACAAGAGATGTAAAAAAAATGAATAAAAAACTGCTATAGTTTTTTTAATCACTGTCAGGAATTTCCTTTAAGAGCCTTTACTTATGATTTCACGTTTCATTGTAAAATTGTGGAATGAAATATCTGTTGTATGAATAATATGTAATACATTGAGGCTACTTGTCTCTGTTTGATGACAACGTAGATCAAAAATGCATGTAATACAGCCATTGTTTGTCCAAGCACCTTGTTTAAGAAGAGATTTTGAATTCTCTAGTTCAAAACTTAAGTTTATAGGGCAGAATTCATAGTCCACTGCATCATGGAAAGAATTAATACTGCCTGTGATTTTAATGATGGCATATTGTTTCTTTTTAGTGATTGTGAACTTTGTCCTGTTTAAATGATAACCTAACAATTTGAGGCATTACAATTTTTGATGAGTCCTGTAGGCACCCTGCAATTTGTTAAATTATTAATCTTATTTTTTAATTTCCTTCTTATACCCTCAAAGTAGAAATCAATCTCTCTTTGTTACAGTGGGAATATACATGGAAGGGGACAACAATACAGCTATATGTAAAGTTTGAAAGAGCTAAAAAAAAAAACGGTCTAGAAGACTAAAGAAGAAAAAGAAGAAGAAGGAGGAGAAGGAACGAGAAGAAAGGAACAAATATTTTGAGAGAAACTTAGCAAATCCTAAAAGAGCTACTGTGATTTATGAAAACTGTATTCACTCTAGGTATTTTTTAGTACTTTATACTTCTTGAAAAGAACCTTTTTATTTCATGTACATTGTCATTTTGTCACCAAACCCCCCTCCCCCCCCCCCAAAGAAAAAAAAATGGCCCACGCATTCTATAAAAATATAGAGTAGGGATGGTTGTTTTTAATGTTGTCTATGGCACTATATGCATGTGACTTTCTTTATGGGAAAATCTGATTCTGTTTGTCATCTGAGGGACCAAAATGTTTGATGTCAATGTGAATGTTTAGCTTTCTGTTTGTCATAGGAACACCTCCGGGGGAAGTTTTGTTGATAGTATCAGAAACGATCCAGAAAGGATGTTGCTTGATCTCTTTCACGTCTACCTGCTTTGAACCAATGCTCAGAGAAAAGGCAGATCAGAGAAAAGTGACATGTTGTTGACAAGTGCTGTGTTATCATGCCAGATGTCATTGTACGTGGATGTAGCTGTAAAGTTCCTTTTCTGTGTCTTTGAGTGTAGTTTCAAGAAGTCTAACTGGTGCTCCGAAAATTATGATGAAGAACAAAAGTCAAATGAGAATGGGGAAAGAGGAGGAGTATGGGGAAGAACTGAGGGAGGGAAATTTAGGGTGAAGAGCCTTGAGGAGGGGAAGAAAGGGAGGGAGGGGAAAGAAAGGGAGGGGAGGAGGAAGGAAAAGGGAGCTAAGGAGGGACGGACGAAGAGAGAGAGAGAGAGAGAGAGAGAGAGAGAGAGAGAGAGAGAGAGAGAATGAGAGAGAAAGAAATAAGGAAGGAGGAAGTAGATTGGGGGAAGGAAGAGGTCAATGACTAGGAAAAAAAGAAAAGTAAAAGGTAGAAAAGAAGATGAATGAGGAAAAAGGAAAAGAAAAAGTGCCAAAGGGATATTTAAAAGGAAAACAAGAGCGGGTAAATATACATGTAGAATAGATAAAGAAATGTGAAGAAAGAGGCAGAATAACAGGGAGGAACATTCGGACAATAATTCTCATAAAACAAGAGAACTGTGGAGAATTAAGAAAGAACATTTGAGAATGAAATACTCCATACTGACAGACGCAGGGGATGCATTCCATTTTCAGAATACTGCCGTCATCACAGACAGAAAGTAAAAACAACATTTAAACAGATATATTACTTTTAATCTGTCTGCATGAGTTACAAATATCCTGACGTTTTGTGTAGTTGGAAGTGACAATGATTGATGCTACCAAGTCATTTCTGTCATCCTAATTCAATGAACCCAATGTATCAAATAGCAAAGAATGTAGAACTGTCAGAAATCATCTTCATGAAACAGTATACCACTATTCTCTCCCTGTTTTTCGTGACTGAAATTGCACAATCTTGCTCTCCTTTTCTTTCTTTCTTTCTTTCTTTATTAAAGGCACATACATGTGCATGTACTGTACATACACTATTCAACTGAAAGGCAGTGTTTTTGAAGAAGAAGAAAGAAAAAAAAGTCCAGACAATTTTAAGAGCCATATTAGCAGCCTCTTTTTTCTTGATTAGCAGTGCAAAAATTAGCTCTCCCTTTTATTCTCTCTCTATTTAATACACATGCTTGCACTTTAGTATTCATTTTATAGGCAACAACACACAAACCAAACTGAAAAAATAAGTCATGATAACTTTAAGAGCCATATTATGATAAGTGCAAACCCGGCATTAAATGAGCCCAATGAATGCATAATGTAGCGACAAATTTCAATTTTCCGTGAAATTGGCACATAAATCTTTGTGAACATTGCAAATCTTTTTGCCAGTGAGTAACCTGCTATCGTATTGAAAAGGCATCAAACGACAGTGGGGTACGATATAAGATATCATTAGTTTTTGAGAATTTTTCTTCAATTGCATTTTTAATTCACAGTAGTTTAGTGTCTTGCCAATCAGAGGCATTACTTAAGGAGTATGGTATCAAGAAGTAGAACGGTGCAAATCTTAATCTATTTTTGTAGAGCTCTAGCATTTCAATTTGAAATTGCAACATTTTTCTTTTGTTTAAAGACACTAGAGGTTACAGCACTGTTACCATGACATCCTTGAAATGAGACAAAATTACTGGTGGTCGGAAACTTGGAACATTGAAAAGCTAACATGTAATGTGTCATCACATCATAAAGTGACTGCATTGCTTGTAAACCTCTCTTTCATACCGAGAGGCACAACTTATTGTTGACGGTCATCAAAGTAAGTCTGTAATGTTGGCATGGGACCTGGGTGTATTTGCTTGCACTATTTGCAGAGTAAATTATATGTGCTTTAGTTATTTAACCATCTCACCACTGCATGAAAGCATACATGTACATGGATACACAACAATAAAATACACAACATTATCGTGCACATGTTAATAATTGATAACTGTTATACTGAACACATACGCATTTACAGATGTTCATAACTTAATCTATCGGGTGTACATTACAATGTTAATATCCATCCACAGTGTAATTGGGACAAAGAGAGGCATATGGGGGTTTAAAAAAGAAGCTTAAGTTTTCAAACTTGCAATAAAGATAGAAAACAAGTTTATGTTTGCTATCTTCAAGCTAAGCTTAGACCTCTGATAGGTCATTAGGCCATTTCTAGTTATGTAATACAAATTATTTTTTTCACCTGTTACAAATAACTGTTTTGCAGTAGTCAGAATGTAAATTACATACTTGAGTTGTTGCTAGATAGGAAAAAAATAGCTCACACCTACATTGAAAGTCATTTCAGATTGATTGTTTGAGACATTAAAGATAAAGTTCTGGTCATGCGATTGCATTGTGAAAGAAAAGATGTGGAATACGGTAGATCAGAAAAAGTTGATCATTTAGCATGTAAGTATTGGTGTGTACTGCAAGGTTCTGGAGTCATCAAAATCATAATAAATTTGGCCCAGTCTTGGTAAAGTAACAAGCACTGTACACAGAGGACTACACAAATGGTGTCAGGGTAATTACCTACCTTGATTTCCTTATCTGTATATGCTCATTACTCAGCCAGTATACATTCTATAACACAATTGTTTGGCAAATGAAATTTATTTGTAATCTTGAATATTCAGTGTAAGTTTCATTTGATTCTGTGAGAAATCATTTTCTATTTTTTACCAGAACTCAAGTTTATCTTTAAAGTAAATACAAAACTACTTGGTTGTATCAAATCCTTCCCGGTGAATGTTCACAATGGTATCATGTTTTCCATTCCAGCAGTGTAAATAATACTGTATGAATGCTTTAGCTCTCCGTCGGATGGGGGGGGGGGGGGGGTGTATGAACACCAAGTATTAGCTGTTAGTCCTGGCTTGGTGCACGCATGCAGGGTTGGTTGTGTGGGATGTTCTATACCTGTGGCATTTGAGTGTATGACTGCAGAGCATAGCGGATGTCAGAGTTTGGCAAGCTCTCCTCTTGTCAGAGCTTGGGAAGCGTTTCTCGGTAGAGTGAAGTTGTGAAGCATTAGCCAGGACCTGACCAGGGTTTCAGAGAGGTTTCACAGAGAAGGAGGGTAATTGGAATCAACACTTTGACTTGGGACCGTAGAGTATGTTTTGTAAACTAGTACAATTGCGAATACAGCTGGCTTTGAGGTTGTGCATGGCCAGTAATTTGAAGTGAAGTGAAGTGAAGAGGGAAGATACAGAAGGAGAACAGGACAATGCCTATATCATTCCATGTAGTGAATCACAAAGAGAGAGAAAGAGAGACAGAAAGAGGGAGAAAGGAGGAAGATAAGAAACTTACATGTAGGAAACTTTGATACATTTTAGCAGTTCCTGGCACTGTACATTCACATTTCCAAGGATTGTGATGACTGACTTTTTTTTTTGGGGGGGGGGGGGCTTCCTTTGCTGTTGATCATAGGGCAAGAATACATAGCAGAATATCATGAGCATGATACGATCAGGTATATAGCAGGTTGCAGTTTTTTCTGCAATTTATATCGATCAGGACTGTGAATGTGAATCCTTTTCTTGTTCTTTCATATCTCCCTCTCTCTTTCTCTCTCTCTCTCTGAGTTTTATCTGTGCTTAGACACATTGCTGTATCAGAGCTATGTAAATGTTACTTATTTTTATTTATAATTATTATTGTGAGTAACCCTTGTAATCATTAGTTAAAAAGAATTTCCCTCTCTTCTTTATCTTCTCTTAGACGATTGAGATGAGGAGAAGAGACCTTTGGTGAGCTGATGACGTACCTACCCAGTGTCAAGGCTTCAGACTTCTACACCAAGGTGACAGATCGGAAGCACAGCAGAAGCCTCCATGGGACACAGGAGACCCTCCACCGTCCAGCAGGTGTCCTGCTACCCATTACACTCTGCCCCAGGATGAGGGCGCTCTTGCGATTACAGACATACACCGTGGCAATCGCTCTTTCCAGCCTGATCTCCGTGACGCTGATCTTCTACACGTTCAGCAGCGGGGGCGGAGGCAGCGGCATCCAGGGAGGATCCTTGTTCTCAAACTACCGTCGGATCAATCACCTGGAGCATGCGGTGGAGACTTTGAAAAGCAAGCTCTCAGAGGCAGAGGCCTACGAGAAGGAACTCCTGGTGAAGATTGAGGATCTGCAGGAGCAGGCCAACTCGGAACATGCCAGTACCATTCAGGTACGGGGGATCGAAGAGCGAAGTGGATGGGAAGGGGTGGGAGACTCCCCTGATAATGCCCCGGGCCACAATGCCAACCAGCGCCAGCAGCAGATCTACAGCTGCAGGCACACGGACATCATCAAGGTCGGCAGGACGATCGGACAGGGCCACACGAAGGTGGTCCAGGAAGGGACGTTGCTTGGTCGGAAGGTTGCGGTCAAGAGCGCTGGCATGCAGGTTAAAAGCGTGAAGGACTGCCTCGAGAAGGGCATCTACCACAAGAAGGAGGACTGTCTCATTCTAGCCATGTACAAAGTACTGAAGGAAGCCATGATCCTGCGTCAGGTCAGGCATCCACACATCGTGAACCTGATAGGACTGTGTGCTCGCAGTGAGAACGGGAGTCCTAACATCAAGGAGAGGGGCATCACCCTGGTGGTGGAGCTGGGGACACCTGTCCATCTTCATGAACTGGTGGAAGACACCTGGGCCAAGAGAGTCAAAGTAAGTTCACCTCCTCTTCATCAATTCCTTCTGTGCCATTAATTTTTTGAACAGTTGTCATAAATGAAATTTCAATTGTTCAAATTCTGACTTTAAATGCTTGTATCAATGTTAAATTACCGATAGGCTCATACCTGTTGATGATCCAAGAAGATAATGAAAGATTTTATTGGTCAATCCTCAAATTGTTGGGAGGAATTTGTTGTGCATAACACAGAGGAAGTTAAGGACAGTCTCTCAAAAGTTCAGCTCCAACCCTTTTTCTAAGGGGGGGGGGCACAAAATATTAGAGATCCATGTACATGCAAGTTCATGTTTCTAATATTTGACATTTTAAGGGTCTGAAATAAGATTTGGGTACTTTGAGCCCCTTGTTAACTTTGAGCCTTAAAAAGCATAAATTTACAAGAGCATAAAGGGTTCAGGGTGTTCAACTGTTTGTATGCCAAGTTTTCTTGCTAAAGATCTACATGTTTAAATGTACATGTAGCTTGATACATGTACTGTACAAAGAAGTCCTTGTAGCCTTGTTTGTAAAGTTTTGAAGTTGCTCAAACCTGTGAATGACCAAATGACTCTGGTTTATTTTATTCTTTGTAATGTATTCTTAAAATCATGAATATTTCTTTTTGAAGAAATGCTGTTGATAAGAATTCTCCAATTTCAAAGAAGCATTGAATACCTGTGTCGTATTTTACCTTTAATCTTTAATCTTTGATGAACACAAACCGTTTTTTGTCTCATTGCTTATTTCCCTTTCCGCCAAAATACGAGACTCTGTTTCCTTCAAAGCCAATTTGATTTGTGAATGTAACATGACTGGGCTACAAAATTATGCTGACTTGTGTGGGCTCAACCGTGATGTACGTTTTAAAAAAATGTGGTTGTAATGTCAAACTTACTACATGTACATGTAGGCCTACAGTGTGTAACTTTCTTTTTTATTTTATTTCATTTTATTTTTGTGTTTGGTTTATTATCTTTATTTTTTTCTACAGCTAAACTTCTTTTCCATCTAGTCTTCTTTTTCTGCTGCTTGAAAGGAAATGTACAGCTTTTCTAAAACTGAGTGTACAGGTACATTGTAGTTTCATCATCACATACATGATGCATTTCTGCTTTGTAAATCTGTATTCTAAATGTGCTCAATATGTACTTGATCTTCTCCAATGCACACTGAATAGAGAATAAATTTTGGAGCCCGTCCAAGCTTAAATCAAAACCGACGCTGTCCGATGTAAGAGCGAAGGTACATTATTTCCTTCCATCAACAAGCTGTCCACACACAGGGATGCACTGTCGGGAGAGTCATACAATCCCTCAGCTAATTTGAGAATCTGATATAGGTTAAATCCAATTTTCATTTTCAAATGATGTGCATTTTTTTCCTTCAATGCAAACCAGAGTGGTTTAGGTGTAGCAATCACCAAAACTTTTTTTGCTCTTTATGCAAGGGGTTCAATATGGCTCTACTGTATCAAAAAAGTGAGCTTCACATTTTACTTCTACAAAGAGATATTGCAATTCATACATGCTCAGTGAACATAAAAAACATTATGTTGAGTGGACTAGTTAACGCACACATACATGTATGCACCTAGCGTAAGACGCACACACCGGCCTGTATGCAGGGTTTCATGTCATCCTTTATTTTCTTCATACAAGTTAGATAACTCAAGGTTAATTTCTTTCTTGTGAACATCAAACAGTTTGAGAATTTTTAGGCAACTATGTATATTTCTCGTCCAAATAAGATATTGTTTATGCCCCTTTTGCGAGCGAGTTACTTCATATCTCTCTTTTTATATACAAATCTACAATGTTTCTTTGTACTATAACTATAACATCTCTAGTGTAAAAAGGCAAACAATTTGCACAACTGTAAGTGATATTCTCATCCATTTGTATCATCAGAGCATCACACTAAAAGAAATAACAGCATCTCCATATTTACTGATTAATCAACACCTCCTCCTAGAGCTAAGCTTCCAAGGCGGGATCAAACAACAAATCCAACGCCCAAATCCCACTAACAAAACCGACAAATCCAAGCATAACAGACAAGTTTAATACCATCCCTGACGCATTGCAGAGCAAGTTCACATTCTTATGAAATCATGGCAGAATTTGCCCCATTATTTCCTGTGTTGAGTGATCCTAATTCAAATTCCACATTTTCTTTTACTCCAGAGTACTTTCAGGGAAAATTGACATTTCCTTTCATAAGTTCTAATTCTGTGCGATGTGCTGTTGAACATGTGTTGTGCTCAGGTACACGTATGAAGACATCCCTTGACAGGCAACATTAGTATTGATGAATGAAACTATAGTTTATTAGTTTTCATTTTTCTTAATCCAGGGAGTGGTCGTTTAACAAAGATCCTGCAAAACTGTTAAATGAAAAGTACAAGAGAGTCAATTTCAAAGTACCGGTAGATAATTTAGCAGTTTTATGATAAATTGAACCCTGATTTTATAATCGTGCATTTTTTGCAGGGGGGGGGGGGGGGGGAGGGGGAAATATCACAATCTATTAAAGCAAAAATTTGCCTTTTCTTTCTTAGTTTTGTATTAAATTTTCTTTTCATAAGAATGCCATAGTCCTAGCTCTCTGTGATCGGCAATGCCGATTCAAATCAGTTTCAAAGTATAGCAAAAACATGACCATAACAAAGGAATGATCTTTAATATATAACAATGTAAGTATCAAAGCCTGGATTACATCCTAATGAACTACAAACAAATTCATAATTTCACATCTAAGTCTTGAGAGATGAAAAAAACAACTTTTTGCATAGATATACATATAGGTGTGATTTTTGTAGGCCAAAACTCAATTTTCGCCCCAAATCTAGCCTTTAAAGCCATCATGATCGTAAACCTGTCTACAAGAAATCTTGAAGCGAGATGGAGGAGGAAGCAGACTTGTCATGGTGAAACCCATCCTTCCTCTTCATGATCTTCCACCTCTCAAGTTGAAAAACACCCAACGCTCAGTCATGGCCCATCAAGTACAAAGATGTAAAGAGATAGGCTGAAAAGGAATGGGCACGGCAGAGCTAAAGTTAGCACGCACAAGTTTCATGACACCATGAGTTCCGAAAGATATAGACCGTATTCTCAGAAGCATGAAGTTGTGAAAAGAAAATTCTTATCTAAGGTCTAATCGTGTATAAAAGGATCCCCACCCCAAGTTAGAACTATATTGTTCTATTCCTATTACAGAGACTGAGCACAAATTTCTGCCAAAATGTGTTTTCTTCTCGCGCTGATTATCATTTGAAAGAAAATGCAAAATAACAACTACATTTAAGAAATCATAAAATGTAATGGTCTTGCCCCAAGTTTACAAATTGACAAAGATGCAGAGGTATGAACAAGGCCAAGGTCTGTTGATGTACATGTAGGGCAGGTACGTATCATGTTTTTTTTTTAAGAGTGTGAACAGTTTGAGAACTTGAAGATTCTAAAGTATGAATAGATCTGCTGAGCAGGGATGTATTGGGAAAGGTTCACAATTTCAGAGTGTGAACAGCTTGAATTCTTAAAGATTCAGAAGTACAGTATGAATAACACCAGTGTCTGTCACAGGCTTGGGTGAAACGGAGATAAAAAAGAACGCATCCCTCGACCCCATTCTCTTGATTTATTGACCCAGATAGATTTATGTGTGCATGAACCCTACAGAAAGTGCATTTGTAACTCCTTGATTGCAGTTCCGGTTACATAGCATTTTCTTCAATTGCTTAGAATTCACATTTAGATTTATTTCAAAAGCAGCAAAGTCATCAGAATTGAGATAATTCTTTTCCATACTAGATGGTCATTTCTAGATACAGGACTTGGAAGGAATTCCTTGAATTCATGAATGAAATCACTACTAAAGCGCATTGATATTCAAATCAAATTGGCAACTTTTGATGTTGACTACATGTAGCCTGTACTTTGCACAACATATGAAACATTATTATTTCAAATTACCGGTACTAATACTTACTATTAGAGATTTGATGTAATTAATGTGGGAATGCTAGGACCTTGAACAGATCTAAAAAGGTCTGTAAAAACATGGGAAATTATCTTAAAAGATCCCATTGGCACAAAAAATGAAGATTGCCAATTTGTTTTCCTTTATGTACATGTACCTGCGTGTTAGTGATTATCAATTTTTCAAACTTGTGGTGATTGATCGATGTACAGCCTGTAATCCAGTTTGCTTGGGTATGGTAAGAATTTGTTCTAATGATCTAATCTATAAAAAAAAAGTATTGTATAATTATATTTGATACCACAAAGATTTTCAGCTTGTCTTGTAAAAGATTTGAGACATTTCCTAAAACATGCTAATGGATCTGATTGGCAGAACACATCATGTACTTGAGTCATTTCTCTATTTTTGTCTTGTTATTATACATTCAGGGAAAGTCAGATTTTTTCATGCATGTGGCATCCTTCACTGGGGTTATCTTAACTGATATTTGCGAAGGGAAATTAAGTAGCAGATTTTAACAGCAAGATTAGGCATTATCTCTTGCTTTAATTATGATTTATATGATGTAAGTTTAGTTGAAAGTCTTTAATAGACTTTATCAAAATATATGTTTTCAGACAGAAAAAAGGGTTTAAAATGGATACAATTTTGCATCCCACATAATTTGCATTATAAGGAATTTATATTCTGAAGAGACAATTTTTCCAGAGTTTTTTCAACAAAATGCAATTTGCATCAGTGATCGAAATGATTATATTAAAAAATTAGTGGAGGTTCTTCAAAACACAGTTATTGTACAAGTTCATGTATCAATTTGCTATATGACAGTTTTAGGCTAATGTAATTTTGAATTCAAATTCCATTTATTTATAGATTCTGATTGAAATATTTTGCAAAAGAGTTCATTCAAAGTACAACCCTGAAACATCATCATTTTACCTGTGTACACTGATCAAAACTCAATCCTAGAATGACTATTTTCATTTGATACCCCACTGCAATAATCCAATCTTATATCATGCTTCCATATCTCCACAAGTAGACCAGATCTAGTTTCCGAACTTTGATATTAATCTTATTGGCCCTCTGGATTAAAGCATTAGGGATACGGTATTCATTCGTGTACTTCATGACCCCAGCCACAGGATCACTGAAGTCAACCAGTGTGAGATTAGTTTAACACCCAAAGGAATGAAGATCTGTTTAAAATGCTCTGGAAAAAAAGGGAAACTTATGATTATGTTTACTTTTCAGTTTTTCTGTATTTGTTTTATTGCTGAATAAAGGATATGACATTTTGACCTACATTTGCTGCATCAAATTCAGTTGTTTTTGTTTTCTTTAATGTTATAATGTTTTCTTTCGTTCATTCCTTTAAAACAAAGAAGATTTTTAGATACTTATCAGTTCTCTGTCTTTAATTGTCTTTGTATCATCAATAAAGGATCTGACTTTTTGACCTCCATATGTGGCATGTTTCAATTTGTTACATACACGTAAGTTCAGTGCTGATGTTGCTCTCAGTAGTAAGGTATGCTGAGAAGATAGAAGCCTGCATTTGACTTTCAAACATTGAACTTTGTAGAACATATTGAAAATTAGAATTATATGCAATCACCTTACTTTTCAGCATTTATAATCCATTAATACCAATGAATGACATGTTCAAGTACATATGTGTACAAAAAATAACTAGGCCTACATGAATGAAGAATTTAGGACAGGACCATCGTTCTGCAGGATCGATAGGATGTAATCCCAACGCGCAATCCAGAACTAATTGATTCAAAGACCACTGGTTCCTCCTCTGACCAGAGCCATTTACTTTATAAAATCACCCTAAAATTTGTTTCTAATATTTTTCTTAGTACTGCATGGAGATTGGCAGACTGTTGCAGTTTCTTTCCTCTTAAGTCATTTTTCTTTATAAAATCACCCTGAAATTTGTTTCTAATCCCAGACCATTTCATCCTCTCTCTTCCTATAGTACTGCATGGAGATTGGCAGACTGCTGCAGTTTCTTGAGGATTCGCCGATGGGCAGCACGGCCATCAGTGACTTCAGGGACGAGCAGTTCGTCATAGTGGACGGTGCCCTCAAGCTGTCCGACGTGGACGATCTGAGCAGCACCGAGCCAGACTGCGATGAGAACATGCAGTGCCTGGTCAACGGCAAATCTGCTGGTCAGTGTTCCTTTCATTCTTTTTGTCAATTCAATTTCAATTCATTTTATTTCCAATTCTCGTAAAAAAGTACATTCAACAATACGGTACATTATACATTGTGAGCAAATATATAAACAATACAAAGAATATGGAGGAGCCTGCAGAGGCCATTGACCTTTGCATTGTCGATATGAAGATCTTGATTTTGAGGGGAACATTTTAGATTTATAAAGTTTGATCCTAAGTGAATGCTGCTCTTCTTCTGGTATAATTCTGTGAAATAATTAGTTGTGAGACTGAGGGCGCGTTCATGCTTGATTTTGAAGGCAGAATGAGCGATTTGTAACGCTCATCGTAAACGCTCATCGTAATCGCAGTTCCACGGTGCACAGTTCATGCTCACTTCTCCAGGCAACTCTCCTTGGGTGGCCTTCAGCTGGATTCGCAAACCTGTGTGCCCATGCGACGTAGACCCACTAGAGGTCAGTGCGTTGACCCCATTTAAACGCGTTTACAAATTGTAAACGCATCTTTTTGTTAGTTTACAATCGGCGATCATGATCGCCGTTTTTCGGTGATTCTACAAAAGTGAGCATGAACGCAATCGTGTTTTAACTAAACGCGTAACAGATGCCTGATTCTGGCCGTCAAAATCAAGCATGAACGCGCTCTGAGTGTAACAGGTGTGGATAAATGAGGACAAAAAAAAATACTGGAAAGAGGAAGTGAGAGAACACGAGTGAAGATCAACCCTATACCAGCTTACATCGACCAATGCAACAAACACGATTGTAGGACATGCCTCAGTCAACTTTTGTCACACAAACCATGTACTTGTTTTCTATACATGTACATAGCCTACTCTCAACAATGTGATAGGTCAGGGTTTCAATCCATGGCGAACAACGAGTTAATAGTAATACAAAGTTTTGGGGAAATTTTGAAAATTGGCCGGATAGTGATTCTTTACTATTTTGATATATTTAGATGCCCCTGTGGATGTATTATAAGCACCAGAAATTTAGCCCCTAAAACACTTGTAAATTTTGACAAATAAAAAGAATTTGGAGTTGTGATACATAATATTCAAATTGGGAATAGCCCATCAATCAATTGTAGTCAAGAAACATTGTTTTATAGCGAAATTAATATCTTGACCTTGAGAGGGAGCTATAGAGCAAAAAGAGTTTACTATTTATAATTTCATCACTTGGGACTCGATTTCAACCACGACAATGATCACTGAATATTGTAGGATCACATATGCTTCCAATATGTTCATTTGAACCAAATTCATGACCCCATACCAAAACTTTGTATTGAGGAGGCAGTGCAATTTAGGCAAGGACTTTCTATTGCATGCATGAAGGTAATCCACTGAGCTTGAAAAAAAAAACAATCAAAACACACCCACCAACCACCCAATAGTTTGAGATAAATATAAGTACAAAGAGAAGGAAAACAAATTCAGTTTTGTCCTATTCACTTGATAAAAGCCAGACACAAATTATGCCAAGAATTCAGCCTCACCCCCGCCCACCACCTTTTTATAGCCTTGTTGCACTGCAGGACTGCTGTGATTCTGACAACTCAAGATACCCATTAACGGCAGAAGGAAGCAAGTAGTGATTGGATATGACATGGAAATCATCATTTTTACATTACCAATAGGGCACGCATGTGACATTGACTTTTTAATGTTGACCACATGTTCTTGACATGCCTACACCAGATGAATGTGCATGAACATAATGGCGCCTTTGAATGCTTTTGCAGATAAATGGCGCTATACAAATGCTGTTCATCATCATCATCATCATAATGTGAGCTATCCTAGCTAATGAGGAGGTTTTTGCGTCCAATTAAAAAAAAAAATGTTTTTGTTGACATGCTGCCTTATTGCACTTACATTTGGATTACGGTACATTTTGTCTGGATATACATCAGTTTCAAAAAGTATTTTTGCTTTGGGAGAGGATGGCAGACAGATTAAACTTAATTCAAGGAAATAAAGTTGCCTCCCTCCATTCTATACACTTATTCATTGCACTGGCCTTTGATAAATCTCAATTTCTTCTAGTACACAGTCACAAAGGGATTAAAAGCATGTTTTCCTCAGAAATATAAATTGATGTATAACGTCTATCAAGGAGCATATAACAATGTAAACTAGGTGGTATTGGTTTAATTAAGAGCCCCCCCCCCTCCAAGAACTATTGAAATTACTAGCATTCAATGTTTCATCAGGTACATTTTATAGGTGTATATGTTTGTAGAAATTGTAGGATATATTCCACTCCAAGGGACTCACTGTTTTACATCATTTCCAAGGGACTAGGTGATTGTGGATATCAGGATTCAGGGATTGACACCATCACAGGCATCCTCAGCAGGGCGCCAAGCAAAACACAGGAAAAGAGCCTGGAGTCATTTCCTCTCTCATCACAAACACACCACTATCTCGCACACTAGCACGCGTCAGAGAAATGGTCACCAGCCCTCCCTGTTAGGTCAAGGTGGTTTGAGAATCATTTGGCAAGGAGGAGTGCATGAGTTTGGAGTTGTGAAGGAAACTATTATCTGTCCCATAAAAAAATGTTTTGGCTCTGTTTCAGTTTTGTTTAAACTTGCCTCCCGAATTATGCTTTCCCTTCAGTCATCTCCTGCTGTTTCATTTTATATTGGACACAAGTTGATTTGTTTTGACAGGTGAATTTGGAGGGGGGTATGAGATGAGTAAAGTACTAAAATGCTGAACACTACAGAAGACTATTAGAGGGGCCAAGGGCCAAATACCAGTGGACGCATCATAGATACAAGCAGATATTGACATGAACATTAAAGAGGCACTCATGTTGTAATTTTACTCATGGCGATCACTATTTTCAAGACTGATCATCACAAATAACTTGTTATAATTATTTGTCATTTTAGAGGATAAAGAGTGAACGGAGATCATGATCGCTGGAGCTGTTATTGTTTCTAATACACATAAAGAGGAGAGAAATTGAGATTGATCCAGAAATCTTAAAAGATGATCTGTTTCCAATACAATGATGTTTGATATGATAAGGGTTATGATTACTCAACCCCCCCCCAAAAAAAAAAAATTAAAATAAAATAAAAAAATAAATAATAATAATAATAATAATAATAATAATAATATTTAAATAAATAAATAAATAAATAAAAAAATTAATGAAAAAATAAAATAAATGAAAATAAAAGAAGGAAATTCAAAGCAGTTTCATTTTTTCAGTCTTACTATTCTCCTCAGGTGTGTAGCCTGAGATCATTTACTAGTGGCCAGCCTTAATCAGATTTTTTAACCCGGGAATATGCAATATCCGTTCCTTTTTTGTTCAAGGCCTGATACGATGCAGAAATGTATTATAATACCACTGATATATTTTGGAAGTGTCTTTCTTTTCATTTCCTTGCCATTTCAATTTTTGTCTTTGTCTATTAAATTATCCAGTCAAGTGCTCATCGAACATGAAGTGTGGTGGCCTCAACGCCTCCCTCAACCTCTTCCATGCCTACGAGGTCTTCATCGGTCCCCTTCTCAGCAGGGACGTGCCCCCCTCGCTCGACACGGCCGCCAAACGTCTTCTCAAGTCCCTCCAGAAAGGAGAACTGGATGCAGAGGGCATGGTTTACAGACTTAAGAACTTGCAGTCCATCCCCTGAAGGTATGTATCGCTGGACCGGAGGCTCCTCAAGCTCTGCCATTTTGTTTGTGACATTTGAAGGTTCTATAAATGACCCTCTGATTTTTTTTTAAAGGGAGATCATGAACAGACTCAAGAGAACTTGCAATCTGTTCCCTGAAGGTACATGTATGTATTGCTATACATGGGGTCCTGAAGGTTCCACCATTTTGTTTTGTGATTGTTTTGTAACAACCACCCCAAAAAAAAGATCATTTACACAACCTGTAAAGACGCCACAGAAAGTGGTATTGTATTGCTAGACGGGTGGATCACAAATTCTCCATTTTTGTTTGTGACATTTGAAGGTTCTACCAATTACCTTCTGAATTCGATATTAGAGATCATTACCAGATTTAAAAAAACGGCAGGCCACTGGCTGAATGCATGCATTCCCGGACCGAGCCGTGACAGTTCCTCCATTTTCTTTGTGATAATTGAAGGTTCTGTAAAGCCACCACATGGAGGGGTATATTGCCATACACTTGAACTTAAAGCTCTGCTATTTTATTAGTGACATTTGATGTTTATTACACACTAATCTCACTAATTTGTAAGCAGGAGTCCCAGGGATCCAACTGATTCAATGCACTCTTGCCCTGACTACCCCGTTCTTTGGTTAAGACAGAGAGCTGTGGATCCTCTGGTTGCTTTTCTGCAAGCATGTATAAAAGCAAAATATTATTATTATTATTATTACCAGTTAGATTGGGGGAAAACAATCAACACAAAAAAAATGTTATTTAGTATTACCACATGTTTTCAAGTGCTTGGAAACTCCAAGAAACCTACTCCATTCCTGATACTTTAATTCCCTAGTTCCTTCCATAATCTTACAACCAAGCCCCAAAACAGCTCCAATATAAAACCCCTCTGCTTTACAAGTTTCCATGACAAAGCCATCAGGTCTTCTCATGGGAAAGCAATGGTTCCACCTTTGGAATCGTAAACAGGGGGTAATGCATTTCGAACTTGAACCCCAGGGCACGCCAGCCAGTAAGTGGTAACAGATTGCGAAATGGATGATGATGACTTTGGCATGTTTGGCAGATCGCCGGTTCAGGCTTGATCTTGGTTTGTGTGGGTGGGTTCCCTTTCTCCATGATCAGTTCAATGGGAAAGATTTGTTGACTTCCCAGATGGAGATCATGTGCCCAAATACAGCAAAGTACAGTATATTCTCATCGCAATAATATTTTGGAGTTCATTTTATACTCTGTACATGTAGGGTTAAGAAAGAAAAAACCCTACCAAATGAACCCTCATTTCCTACTACTTTGGTTTTCTTACGTACTTTAAACAGTAACAATTCATTTATTCAAATCTATAAGTTGTCGTATCAAATAGATTTTTGTCAATTAAGTTTAGTATTGACAAAAAAAAAGTAATCTGGTGCAGTTTGATGGCAAATCATCGTATCATTAGTCTGATAAATTATCTATGATCCCTTATTATCTGTCTGTCGCTCTTTCTCTCTTTCTCTCTTTCTCTCTCTCTCTCTCTCTCTCTGTCTCTTTCTCTCTCTCTCTCTCTCTCTCTCTCTTTCTCTCTCTCTCTCTCTTTCTGTCTCTTTCTATTTCTCTCTGTCTCCATCACCCTCTTTACCTCTCCCTCTCTCTCTCTCTCTCCCTCTCTCCCTCTCTCTCTCTCTCTCTCCCTCTCTCTCTCCCTCCTTCACCCTCTTTATCTGTCTCTCGTTCTGTATCGCTTCCTCTGTCTTTCTGTCTGTCTGCCTTTGCCCATCTGCCTGTATGTCTATGTCTCTTGCTCTACCTCCGTCTCTCTCTCCCACCCTCTGTAATTCAGTAAGGGTTCGCCATCATATCCAATAACGATTCCAATGACTCTATGCCCCTGATACTACAGAAGCTGTCTTTCATAAACTCATTAGCCTCAATTTAAGAGCTCTAATCACGGGAATGCATACACGACACCCGACTCAAATTAGGTTATCTGCCCTTCATACACTGTATAATAAAAGCAATAGATATGTTCACACGGCGCAGCTGGTGTTTTAAATGTGAAAGTGAAAAAAAACATCATGTTTTAAAGCCCCACTGTCCTATTTGTAGCTACTTGCTCCCTCTGTATAGAAAACTTCCCCAATCGGTGCCTGTTGGTCCCCCATGATCCTCTTTTTCTTATGTTAGTTGAGAGCTGAGTTAATGGGATAGCCACCTGTCAGTGACCTCGCTGTGTGGTCTAACCCCTTCTGGCCCAGTAGTATTGACGGTCTTTAAACAATGACCCCTTACAACAACGTCGTTACACATGGCTCTAAAATGACTGCTTGAAGTTTTAAACTATAAGCTGTGCAAGCAATCTTTGTAACTACAAGCTTGCCAAACCTCTTATTACCGGTACTCGTTGATAACTTTGAATAAGGACCCCCCCCCCCCCACTGCTCATAGTTTTTGTGTTAAGCATAAGATTGCTTTTGGTTTAAAACGTTCAATAAATTTTAAGTATCTGGAACCGTTAGTGTGTGTGTGCATGAACCCTTAACTACAAAGATTATCTCAAACTAGTTTAAAAACAAGAGCCAAAACTTAAATATTACAGACTGTCATGTAAACCTAGCTATTAAGCCCTTCATACACTCTGTAATAGAATCAATATGCCAGAGTCTGATGAGACCTTCTCTAGCTAATCTCACATTCAAGATGGCTTTCTCTCTGCTTAGTGCCACTGTTGGTTTATACCACAGTACAGGTGTGTAAAAGATGGGAACCGAATTTGTGTGGATGCAAGTAATTTGCTTTTTTCGCTGTTGTTTTATCAGCAGTAGCATGTGTGAAAATGCACTGTTTCGGATCGCTAGAAATTGATGGCACATTAGAGAATTGACAGCTCGTAATCTGTTATAAAGATGTCTCCTAAATTGGCTCAATCCCATAGCTTACTTGAGGCTTGTCCATCATAGCACCAGAATTATGTGTGCAACATTTAGGTAGATTCCATCCATTTGTAGATGTATTTAATAATAAATAACCTTAGAAGAATGTACAGGAAAAAAAATTGAATACATTCAGTGAGGTGGTCTATTGTAGCATGATAAATGTAATAATGAAATACAAGTTTTGATGAAATGTTTATTATGAACATCTACTCTTTAATTCTGTCTTTTTATTACTCCAACAGATGGCGCATCCATTGAAGAAATGGAGATGCACTGTAGAGGATATAGAGGGGACACCTTAATGCCCTGGTCGAAGCTGAAGACAAGACAAGACAGTGAGGCCATCTTTCCCCTTCCATTCCAAGCAGAAATCTGCAACAGATGAGGTGGAAATCTACCAGCAGAGGCATGACAGGAATGGCAAGAATGCAGACAAACGGTGTAGTCATCGAAGAGCGCATGGATGAAACATGACACAAATGTAAATGCGTGGGACATGTGTGCAGCGAGCATGTTTGCAACATTTATGTCGTCCTGCTCCGTCAAATCATTTTCATCTTTGGAGCCTGCCCTCTGGCTGTCAGTGTTTGTCAGGAGCGAGATGGAGTCGATGTAGAAGCTACTTTGAAACCCAAAACTTTCAGGAATTTTCCTAGTGGTCCAGAATGTTGCAAATACAATGCTTTTGAGAAGAAAAAAACTGTGTTTCTGGTTCGGGCACAATATGTGCGACTCTTCTCTATGAATACAAAGACAGTGATCATTTTAATCTGAACGTTCATTTGTTTGCTTTGAACGAGAAGCAAATTTAATTTTACGGCCAGTACGATAGGAGATGTTAGTAGAATAAGTTTATGCAGCTGCGTGGTGTTGTTATGAAAGTAATTGCCACGATGTGGGTGGAGGAATCTGAGTGCAAAACAGTCTGAAGAAATCAAAAGTGCATTTGATGTGGGAAGTGGAAATAGATGTGATATTCTTGAGAGGGTTCGGCTTCAAATCATAGACCATCACAAAACTGGTCGGATGTCATTAAAATTTGAAACCAGTTTAGCTTTTATTTCCCACAAGGAGGCTTGCACTACCCCCCCCCCCCCCCACCCCCCACCCCCCCCCCCCCAAAAAAAAAAGAGGGGAAAAAAAATCAGTATTATGACTCATATGACTATCCAGAACATTGATCATGAAGATTTTATGTGTTTGAATGTTTTTTGTAAAATGCTGTAAAAAATTCTTCCTAGATTATTTTTGTGTGTTTATACAGAGGGCTTAATAAAAATTGAAATACAAGACCATTTTTTGCATATTTTATACTATACTCAAACTATGTAGAGGATTTTTGCTATAGATTGACAGAAAGTGCTTCTTTTCTAATCAACCAAAGATATATTCTAAACGAACCCACCGTAATTAAAAAGCCAGTTTTGAGTATTACATGTACTTCTTGTTATCAATTTGAAAATTCATGTAATGAATTTATTTACTTTGTTGTATGGTCTGTACATTAGAAATGAGCTTCTGAAGCCTAATTTTTGCATGAGTATTGAGAATATATATTTATACGACTTTATCGTTTATTCTGCACGTGCAACCGATGATATTGATTTGCTGGATTGTTTATATTTTCTTTTTCGAATGTCAATATATATTTACTAATGTTGTAGACTGTCCTCAACTTTTCTATCAGTGATGTATCATGTATTTCTCAGTCTTCTGTTTTTTCTTTTCTTTTCTTTCTTTTGTTCTGAGTTAACTATAAGAGCGTATTACCAATGTTTTTAGTGGGCTTAAATCATTAGTTAAAGGCATATTTTGTATTTGTTTTAAAACCTTTGATTTCCAATCTTCGCTATTTCATGCAGCTTATTTCTTGATTCTTGTGTAATGCTAAGAATTTCTATGTGTGTGTTTGAAAATCAATGTGTGGCAACCATTTAGGATGTTGAGAGGGGTAAACGTTGGGGAGGAGGGGGGGGGGGTGGGGAAGGAGGTGTCAGGGGTCAAAGGGCACACATAGTGGAGGCAAACATATATCGAGTAGGAAACAGAATAGTAACAGGGGAGCAGCCCAGTGTTAATGTCACTGTAATATATACATTTATCCTTTTTGCATATGTTTTAATGTTGTTTTGTAATAGTTAAATAATAATAATAATGATAATAATAGTAGGTTCTGGTATAGCGGTCATGTCTGGCAGACTTGACACTCCTCACACTCTTTCACTATTACCCCTGCTTTTAGCCTAGCTGCCATTATGGTGCTCTAGCATTTCAAGGAATTAATTCCTGCCAGGTACCCATTTACCTGCCCTGGGTCAAGTGTGGCAAATGTTGATTAATTTCTTGCCAAAGGACATTCATGCAGTGGAATCGAACCGTCAACCATGCGATCCACATCTCGGTGATGTACGTATCCACCAGGCCACGACACAATCATGTACTTTATTTGGTGGCTCACAAACTACATCTCAGTCATTAATAATTTGATAATCATGACGGGTGATTCCCTAAATCTTCCAGCCCAGCTAAAATAAGTGTAGAACAGGAAGAACAATCTAGAAATTGCAACCGGAGTTCTGTTGCAATCCGGATATTTACGTTTAGTCGTATTTCATTTTTAATAGCTTTGTTCAAAGCGTGGTTCTTTTTTACACTTTTGAGAAACGATAGATTCTTTATTGATCCAAGCTTACATTAAATTGATTATGTTGTGTTGTACTGTTAAGTCCCTAGTCTGGCCCTGACATGAATTGATCAGGCTTTTCTCTGCTAGAAGGAAATTGTGCAGCAATATTCAGAAATCATTATTTCTTTTTATTTTGAACAAGATAATAAAAATGAAATCAGGGCTATTGGTCACATGAACCCCCATATATTTTCAGAACTTCCTTGAGAACAATTACATGTCAGTCTTGTGGCCATGGGCTATCGGCCTCTTTGGCTGTTGGTTAGACAATCTTCAGAAGACTTACAAGAACAATGATTTCTTTCTAATAACGGGGCTGTTGTCCATCTACATGTTTTATAGGTTTAAAATATAATGGTCAAGAAGTTCAGAATTTTGTAATGCCTCTTTCAAAGAAGACAAATTAAGTTGTGTGTATGACACTGAAAAAATGTATTGTGTAAAATTATGCTAGGCTTGTAAATTATGGAATATATCTTTACTGTTTATCATTGTAAAATAATTTATGGTAAGAGCAGATTTTTATAGAAAATTGAACATTCCAGACAATATTCCAGTTGTAATGCCTTAGATTGAAGATAAAGACTATAGAGGGAGGTATTGTAAACAAGAAAATTATTGACGTAGAAAAGAGATAAATTTTCAGGGCAGGAAACTCACAAATCACAGATAATTAGTGTTGTATCGATTGTGATTCAGTGATTTGATCAATTTGCAATACAAAAGGACATTAATTCCATCTTAAATGAAAGGGGTTTTCCCCTCCTGCTTAGATAAAAAAAGTGACATGTTTTATATGAAATGAAGTGCAAATATTGATTTTGTGATGAGAGGGAGCAAAAAGCAGCAATATTTATGAGACTAATTGTAGATTTCTCATGATATTAGGTATTTGGTGAACAGCAACTTGCCAATAAGGTTGTAGTGTACTATTAAACTGTCTTTGTGCAAAATCTTTGAGTCTTTGTTATTGCTTGTATGCTATTCTTGTGGAGCTTTGTCACTCTTGGAAGGCTTGTGTGAACTTTACAACGTGATGTTTTTCTTTGTTCAATATTTACAACTTACGAATCGTGTATTTGTATATTATAGCAAAAATAAAATTTACGACATTGACTTCTGTGTGACAATATTCTGTGTTTTTGTGTGTTTATTTTCCTCTCTGATTTCTCCTCTCCCTCATTCGATCTCTTTCACACTATTTCTTCCTCTCACTCCCCTTCCCAACTCTTTCTCTTTGTCTATCTTGTCTTTCTACCTATCTCTCTGCTTTTACCCGTCTCTCCCTCCTACCCATTTCATCTTTCTCTTTCTCTCTCTCTCTCTCTCTCACACACACACACACACACACTCCCCTCCCCCTCTCTCTGTCTGTCTCTCTGATTTTACCCTTCCTCTCTCTCTCCCTATCCATTTCACCTCTCTCTTCTCTCTCTCATTTCACCCGTCGCCTTGCTTTCCTCCATTCTCCTTTACACATTGAAAACAAGTGTCCCTTTTCTGCCTTGAAAATTTTCCTTGCTCTACAACATGGCATGTTAATTGTGTATCCCTCAAGTGTAACAAGTATTAAGCAAAGACACAGACCACCTCCTTGTAATCATCATACATAAAATCAATCTCATTTATTACTAATTTCATCACGGCAATACAGTTTTATCACAACAATTACTGTTAATTATACAAAATATTTCATGACTCTTACCATCTACTACATATATTCAAGTTATAAATGCATATGAATAAAAATATTTAATATTTGTTGGATAGGGAGTTTAAACTAAAAATACATATACATTTTATTTTGCCATGTGCCCCTTTTCCTTGAACAAGTTCCCATTTTCCTTTGAATGAATTGCCCCTTCCCCTTTTTAGCTCGGATAAGCGCAACTTTTATTTTTCACATGTGCCCCTTTTCTTTTCTAATAAGTGCCCCTTTCTCTTATGATAAGTGCCCCCATTTAACAAGAGAACCCCTTTCCCTTCTCTTAAATGCCCCTTTTCACATATGAAAAAAGTCCCTTTTCATTCTCATCTCTGTTAAATTACTCTTTTCAGGTAAGAATTACTTCACATCTTCCTTTATAATAAGTACCCCTTTCTATATCTGGTCAGTGCCCCTTTTCAGGTGCGATAAGTTTCCCCTTTCACCTCTGATTGGTACCCCTTTAACAATGATATTTGTCCCTTTTACTTTTTTATAAGGTTACTATCCCCTGTTTATAAATGCCCCCTTTCTGATGGGTGCCCCTTTTCCGTCGACAAATCCCCATGCATTTCCTATTCTCATAAGTTTCTTTTTTCATCCCTGGTGATTGCCTTTTTTCAGGTGTGAGAAGCGCCCCATTTTCACCTCTGATAATTACGTTTTTTATTTTGACACATGCTTTTTTTTCCTTCTCTAATATGTGTCGTATCCCTGTTGATAAGTGTGCCCTTTTCCTCTCATCATTAAACGTGCCCCTAATTTCAAGCGCATAAGAGCAATTTCCCCCAAAGCTCGCTCGCTACGCTCGCTTGCATTTAAACATGTTCTAATTATGTTACTTATCAAAGGTCTTTTCAGCCTTTCGTTTGGAGAATGTGCTTATAACCCCATCAGGATTGTTTTGTTTTTCTCTTTATACATGTAGGATGTAATTTTTCGCACTGCGACCTCACAAATCGCAACTTTCAAAATCCAACTTCAAAGTATGATGCTTAAGCAATATCTTTTATGATGTATAAAGAGAAAAAAAACTATTGAAATCATCCCTGATAATGAAATCACAATGTAGGGGTATATACCAATGTCTAAAATATTGTATATTTTCGTTTGAGATTGCCCTGTTTCTATCTATCTTATAAATTATTATACACTGTGGTAATACTGGTGGAATAATGTTTTTTGCCCCAATTTATGGAATGATTTTGACCATGATTTATTCCTAATGGATCTAAATAATAGTATACATTCTCAGATTGTATTGAATTGGCGAATGTTCGTTGTATGCTACTATGTTTATCAACTCGGGGACCTACGTCCTTACAGTTATGAGGATTAATGCCTCACAAAAGGGCACTAATATAGCACATGCATCGACACAGTTTTGATCCTTAGGCCTCACAGTTACGAGGCCATTGCTTTGCCACTGAATCATGACTATATGCAGCGGGGGCTAGAGTAGGGGGCAGCCCCCACAAATATAAAAAACAACGAAAGGCCATACAATTCATTTTTCCCCGGTCCTAAACAGAAAAATTCCTCTGTAAGGCCATGCAATATGGTTCAAGGCATTGCCACACAGATAATTTTTTCTGTAGTCGTTTACCATAGGCAAGTTTTAGAGGGGGCAGTCGACCAGTACGTGCCCCCTGTTCATATCAAAACGTTTCTTGGGTCACTGTTTCATTACCCAAAAATGTTCTATGGAGAATGACGTGAAAGACACGTCTTTTTTTACATCCATCTTCATGATTCAGCTTAAAGTACCACATATATTGCCTAGTATGTCTAGTATTATACGACAAAGACTATGTTCTTTCTAGTCAAGCAAGCAAACTAATTACAATTTTATTATGATTTATTATCGCTTTTAATTTGTTAAAGTAGTCAATTTACTGATATTTTCAGCTCGTTTTCTGTGTGAAATCAACAGGTCGGGCGACAGAGCTTTACTACCATGGCACACTCGCCTTCTTCTATTTTTTAGTGTGAGAAAAATCATTCATATTCACGAGCATGCATGGATGCGATCTCTGTCGGCGGTAAGAGCGACAGTTCGGCTGCTCGGAGGTGAATGAGCAGGATCAACGTAACGTTTCCTCTTTTGAGGAAATCAAGCCTTGCTTATTTGATCATGTCTACATGGACGATCGTTCCTTAGTGCAGACGGTAACGCTCTATTCCACATTGTTGCTTTGAAGATCTGATATAAAACGAACCCTTATCTTTTACAAAGGAACGCCGTAAATTGTAAGTTCATTGTTCTTTTTACAAATTTAACAAGATTTACGACTGTCTGCTCGAATTTACATTCAAATTAAAGTCTACGTTTAAATGGAAAAAAAATAGTAGGATCTGATTTAATGTTATCATTTAAAGAGTTCCATTGCATAGCTGTGGTTCGGTATATATAAAAGTCTTTTGCGCAATGACGGGTCTGGTCTGTGGTAGATGAAATTGATCTGATTGTCTAATGGGGTTCTTGTGTACTTTAATATTTGAAACAAGTTCTCCAAATGGCACATAAAACAAACGAGATTATACAAATATAATTCATGAATTTGTAAGACTTTATTATTATAAAAGATAGTGTTAGTGTTAGTGTGAGAACGATAGCTTTTGTTGCAGATAATTCTCATTAGCCTTTTTTGTAGTAGTATGAGTTTATTGAGGTTTTGATTATTAGAGTGGGCCCATGCGAGTATTCCATTATTCACAGTGGATAGAACAAGAGTACAGTATACTTTATGGAGGGTGGGCTGTGGGAAGAAATGTTTAATTTTATTAATGACAGTGGTGTTACGTGATACCTTCTTACACAATTGTGTAACATGGGATTTCCATGTCAGACGGTCATCAATTATAATACAAAGAAATTCGGTAAACTTTGGTGAGTGCATGTGTGTTGAGAATTGTAAGTTCAGGAAGTGTAGTAAAACTATTGCTAAATATCATAAATGGGTTTTTATCAAGATTTAGTTAAAGTGTATTTGCTGAAATCCAAATTGCTACATTTTAAAATTCAGTGTTCACAATTTCGGAGAGCTGGTGTGGATCCTTATTGTGTGTAAAATAATGTGTTAGGAGCCGATTACCAAAAACTCTGTCTTTTCCTCATTTAGTTTAAGTTTATTCCTTCCCATTCACGTACTTATATCTGTGACACAATCTGAAAGAGGTTTTGATGCAGTATCTGTAGGTTGCTTAGGGTCAAACGTAACATAGAACTGTGTATCATCAGCATAAGTGTGATATGAAACGTTGTAATGTCTTGCGATGTCTGGGACAGGCATAGTATGTATGGGGCCAAATACGGATCCTTGAGGGAGACCAACTTTATTAGAAGCTACTACTGACTGTGTCCCTCTAATTTCAACACATGTGGACCAGTCTTCCAAATATGACCTAAACCATCTCAGAGCTGCACCCTCAACTCCCAGCCTTGTTGATAACCGAGATATCAAAATACATCCAAACAATAAAACTACTCTACTATACCTATCTATAGCAGACAGAAAATCATTTTTACGTTAATAAGATGGCTTTCAGTATTATGATGGGGTTTATATTGCAGATTGGTTAGGATCCCGCAATGTAATCTGTGAGTCTACGACAAGCAAATTTCTCAACTTTCTCAATTTGACACTGGTCTATAATCAAACAAGCAATCCTTATCAAGATTTTGCTTCTTGATAAAAAAAAATCTGATTACGTCTGACCTAGCTGCAGAAGAGAATGTACCTGTCTGTAATGATGAATTAACAATATCTGTCAATACAGGATGAAGACAATGTTCATGTTCTTTTAAAAACCAATTTGGAATGGGATTCAAAATACATGACTTACTAGGAGAAGCTAAAATAATTTTCAATAACTCAGTGAGTTGACATGCACTTGATTATACATATCAGGATCAAAATGTAGAATCGTGCTGTACATCATTAATGCTGCCCTAAATCTTCTTTATTTTATCATCAAAGAATGTTAAAAAGTTATTACATAATATCTCAACTGAGTCATGTACAGGTAGGGTGGTTTCTTTCTATTCAACGAATAATCAACTGTCTTGTAGAGATCTTTATTTTCACACGAGGATAGATTACTATGAAAATGAGCTTTCTTTGTGCGACAAATCAGATTTGATGAATAATGTGGTTTGTCCAAGAGTTCATCTCGACCAACATCTGATTTATAGGAGTGTGTGGAGGTGACAATGACCAATAATGATGATGATAATATCGATCATTTATGAGCGCTAAAATCAAAACAAAAAAGTACCATAGCGCTTACAAAATTATAGAATGCGGAAAAGAAACATGAAATGCACAGACTTGTAAACATAGGTAAATTGCATTGAGTAAGTGAGAGAAGAGGTATGTTTTAAGGTGTTATTTTTTTTTAAGGAAGCAAGATGGGTTAATTCTT